GTGAATTACTAAATGTTTTCCTAACATAACTATATGCTTTAGCAGAATAAAAATTTAATGTTAAAGCAAGGTTGTTAACAAGGCCAAAATTAGCAACGCCAAAAGTAGCAAGAACATGGCCAAAGCCACATGTTACAAGGCTAAAGCCAAGACCAATGCCAAAAGTTACAAGGTCAAAGCCAGGGATTTTAAAGTCAAGGTTAAGAATAAAAACATTTTTAAGCCCAAAGACTTGAATTTTTGTCTAACATTAAGGTCAATTATTAATAAAACTGTAGGTAACAATTCCTGTGACAATAAACCACATGTTATAAAAATAAACCAGGGTTATGCCTAAAATTCTATGAAGTCAATAAAAAACATATTTGTAGATATGTATGAAGCCGAAAACAAAAATACGTAAAAATAAAGAATGAAATCTTTTAATTCTTCAATTTTATGTACTTTTTTTGAAGACCAAAGCCAAGACCAAGACCAACAGTTTTAAGACCAAGACCTTAAGTCAAGGTCAAGGCCAAGGCCTAGGACTAACAACTCTGTGTTGTAGCTTCATAATTTTGGTGGGTAATACTTTTTAACTTTTCTTGTAAAATCCGACAAAATAACTGTTTTGTAGACTCAGACATAGCTCCCTAAAATTAAATAGATTAAATAAATACATTTTTAGTTACAACACCATATTTATACTTGAAAACCCAATCAAGTAAAATAGGGCATTGTTGATTGGGGTATCAAGAAATAGATGAAATTATCACAATAGCATTACAATCATAACAACAATTATTACTGTTACGACAAACACAATAATTAACTTATTGCTATTCTTACCGTAATTGTGATGAATTAAAATTTTCCTTAACTCTTATCTGATGATTAATGTAATAAGTTTTTAATCATAAAAACTTACTAATTTAAAACCATATTTTAACAGTAGGTTGACTAAAACAAAATAATTTTAAAGGTATAACTTAATAAGAAATAAGGAACAAATATTTAAAATAATTAAATAGACAAATAAAAAAAAAAATGTTCAAAAACTACTCTTGATAAAAATATATATTATACCATTAGTGTAATTGATACTGCTTCAGAAATCATAGTATAATTCATGATTTTGATTCATCATATGATTCATACTTTTTGATTTAAAATGACGAAGGTATGAATGTAAGTCTTTTATCCTTTTTATTAAACAACAGTTGGATTGCTGAAGCATTTTAATTGTCTTTTGTTTAGCAGCAAGATTACTTATATTCAATTTTAAAAACTTTATAATATATTGTTTACCATTGGTGTTATGATTGATTTGACATTTTTCAACAATGTTTTTAAAACCATAAAGATATTATTGTCACATAAAGTAAACTCAAACATTTACATCAATATATGATATTGTAAAAGTAATTGTAAAGTATGTCATTGTAATGTATTTAAATTAGATTTACTGTATTGAATTATTGGTGATATTATTGTTAACATTAATGATATAGTTATCAACATTGTTCCTAAAAATATATATATATAAATATACATATATATATATATATATATATATATATATATATATATATATATATATATATATATATAATATATTGAAAAAATGATATAATTATCAAAATTATTGTTTCTAAATATATATATATATATATATATATATATATATATATATATATATATATATATATATATATTTAGGAACAATAATGTTGATAATCATACCATTAATGTTAACGATATCAAAGATAATTCAATACAGTAAGTCTAATGTGTATATATATATATATATATATATATATATATATATATATATATATATATATATATATATATATATATATATATATATATATATATATATTTAGGAACAATAATGTTGATAATCATACCATTAATGTTAACGATATCAAAGATAATTCAATACAGTAAGTCTAATGTGTATATATATATATATATATATATATATATATATATATATATATATATATATATATATATATATATATATATATATATATATATATATATATATATATATATATATATATATATACATACATATATATATATATATATATATATATATATATATATATATATATATATATATATATATATATATATATATATATATACAAATAGTATTGCGTACTTTGGTAAGCAATCTGACGTCATACTGAAATAGCCTGCTGCTGGGGGCTTCAGTACATACAACGACTGACAAATAGCCTGACTCGCAGTGGAGTGCTGCTACATCGACTGAGGGTTTGGGATGGGGAAGCAATCGTTTTATTTATCATTCTTCGTTTTTTTCTTCTTCTTTTTTGAAAAAAACGGTTTACCTTAAAGTAAGCACAAAAAGTGAGCAAATGCTTATCAAAACACGCTTTAGTAAATGTATATATATATATATATATATATATATATATATATATATATATATATATATATATATATAATATATATATATATATATATATATATATATATATATATATATATATATATATTAGGGCTGTACCGGATTTCGGCTCTGGCTCCTGCTCCGGCCGAAATCCGGCCATTTTTACAAATCCGGCCCAAATCCGGCTCCGGCAAAAATTTAGCAAATCAGGCATAATTTTAGCCGGAGTTTTGAATTTTGTCAAATATTTATTACATTTTTTTTGCCCGTATTTACATGTATACCTAATATTTTATTTATAAAAATCAATTTTTTTTTGTAATTCTATATTTTATAAACCTCATATTTGTTTTGGTATTTGTATTTTTTTTTTTCTTTATAATTTAATAAGCTTAGTCTAATTTCAAACAACAACGCAACAAAAAATTCTGAAGGGAAGACACACGATATTCTACAATGATGCAGGTATAAAGACTATGATGTCAACCCTAATCAAGTGATTGGATGAGCGTTTTAAAAGCATTGAAAAGAGAAACCTCTTTATATACTGACGAGGCTGGTTGACTCACAATTTAAAACTAAATTCTTCTCGTTACAGGCAACACTGACAGCTGAAAAAACAAGATTGAAGTCAATCTGAGCATGCTGAACAGAAGATTGACAAAACTGAAGAAAATCCACCAAAATAAGCCGGGCTTAATAATTTTTCTACATCATCATCATCATTACTCTGGCAATTTATTGATAAAATTATTCAGTCTACGTCCGCTGGTGGCAGGGCACATAAACAACAATTACTAAAAGGCATTGAAACTCAGCTAAGGAAATATCCGAAAGAACCAGAAATAAATAGACACAATGATCCATTACAGTGGCGGAGTGACAAAATCCCGGAAAAAAAGTTCAATAGAATTACTATAAACTTTTAAAACATATGGCCTATAGAATTTCTTTAGAATTTCTATTAATTTATATATAGAAATTGCTATAAAACTTTTTAAATAACAACAATGAAGTTTAACAGAAAACAGCAGTCACTTGGTATTCTGAATAGTCCACATTGTTGACCATGCTCAACACCAAGTAGGGATGTACAGGATTTTGGCTCCTGTAGTTTTGTTTTGAAATCCGGCTCCGGCTCCGATTCCGGACGGATCTGTCAGTAGAAATCCGGCAAATCCGGCTTCGGCCGGATTTGAAAAAATTAAATCCGGTACAGCCCTAATATATATATATATATATATATATATATATATATATATATATATATATATATATATATATATATATATATATATATATATATATATATATATATATATATATAGGCACACAATATATATGTTACTAAAAGTAAACTTAAAAGTTTTAAATCAATATATGTCATTGCAAAAAAATTAGTTACTTAAAATTAGACTTACTGTATTTGAATCATTGGTGGTAATATTTGAAATAATTCTTTGTCTATATTTTTGGTAGCTTTCTAGAATAAATACTTTTCATAAAAGTATTGGGAAATTAAATATAAAAGAAATTGCATCTTTTTTTAGTTTCTTTTGTGAACTCGAAAGACTTCCTTCATACCAGTGAAATATTTACCACAACGTTTAGACAGTTTACTAGGAGTAAAACCATCACTCCGCATAACTTGTATCCATTTTCTCTTCAATTTCATATCTTTCAGAAAACTACCAACAAAAATAAGCATATTAAAATAATATGCTATTTATATTTGAAATATAATGTAGGATCTTAGCAAATAATGATTTGTAGCTACTTACACATGAAAAGGAACCCTTTTATTATATCTTTGAGTGCAATTATATGCAAAATAAGATAAGATCATGATCTTATATATCTATATTCTATTTGAAAATCAAAATTTAAACAAAATAATATACATAACAAATAATAAAACTTTAAAAATGTTAAATACATTCACCCTAAACCGATATTATAGATTGTTTAATGCCCAAATGTGACGTCACGCGCTAAAAGATGTTGGCTTCAAAATATTGTGAATTAACTTGCAGTAAGGCGTGTCTATCAGTTTATATGGTCGAAGGTTAAAACAATAAAAATAACAAATTGTAAACTAGTATCTTAGTATAAGTTCCTAATATATTTTTGTATGTTTTATTGCAAAAAAGACAAATGTAAAGTTGTTATAGTTATAGTTTATGCTATAGTTATAGTTTCTTCCACAAAAATAAAGAGGATTTTTCCATTGCACAACAGAGTTACTATAAAAGAATAATATTTTGCTAAATTCAACTCGAGTAAAAATGACACTTAGTTGATGGTATAAGTGGTAGTAGTTTTAGAATTTGTCTTAAAAAGTTTCTTATGATGTTGTCTTAATCTTTTTTTAGTTACTGAAAAAAATTTAGCACAAGTTTATAAATAAATTTCAAATTTATTAATTTTACTTAATTTTAAATTTATAAAATTTAATCAATTTAAATTTAATTTTACAAATAAATTAAAAAATTTTTGCACTTTTTTAATAAAATTTATGTTTTAGTTATGGTTTACCCACATAACAACAATTTGAAGCATATAATATATTGTAGTAAATTATTTTTTTTAATTTTAGTTTATTGAAATTAAAGTGGCTTGTCTTGGGAATGCTGATGCAGGAAAAAGTACACTTCTTGGAGTTTTATGTTATGGTGACCTTGATAATGGAAGAGGTAGAGCACGTCTTAATGTTTTTCGTCATTTACATGAAATTCAATCAGGGCGTACATCCAGCATAAGCCATGAAATCCTTGGATTTGATCGGAAAGGACAAGTAAGTTTAAGCATTAGCTTATTCCTATTTGAAATACCTTTCACAAAGTAGGTTTTTTCAAGGTTTATAAATTTTATAAATCAAAAAACAAAGAAGAACAGCTCGGGTTTTATAATATTTGTAATACAAGCTTAAATTTGTGAAACAAAATTTCTAAATTTAAATACTGTGTAAATATGTTGGATTACTTGTGTTTTTTGAAAACTAAAAGCATTGTTATATTATTATGCATTGTTATATTGGTATGCATTGTTATATCAGTATGTATTGTTATATTGGTATGCATTGTTATATCGGTATGCAAATAGTAGTTTGTCAAGATATTTAGGTTTTCTTTGAGGCTACATGGGATTAGCTATCAATTTCATTTGTAAAAATTAAAAGATATTGAAATTCTGTTTGTCATGCTCCAAATCTGATGAATGGCACACAGCAAAAAATAATTTTCAAAGGTTTGAAGGTGTCAACCATTAACTAAAAGTTGTCTCTAATAATTAGCATAAAAAAATTAGTCTTTGCTAAAAAAAGACAGTAGAGCTAATGTTATGATGACTTTTAATGAACCTAATTATCTCTATGAATCAGCTATTTGCTTTGACCAGTCACTTTAACTTGTTATTAACAGAGATCATATTTTTCTATATATATCTGGAATTCATATATATCTGAATTTTTAGTTCTTCAGAAATCTAAAAAACTTATCTTGCAATGAGAAAGGTTTTTGTAACTTTAAAGGCAGTGGAAAAAAGCTGTAATAAAATTTTTTTAAGATTGTGAAAATCATTTAAATCATCAGTTTTATTTTCTACATATATATATATATATATATATATATATATATATATATATATATATATATATATATATATATATATATATATATATATATATATATATATATATATATATATATCAGCGTGTAAAATAACGGCGGGTCAATGGTTAATGACCGCCCAAAATGAGTAAAATTGCTATTTTGACCTCCTAAAATGAATTCTTGCCGGTCAACCGGTTGACCGGTTAAAAAATAATCAGAGTTTTGAAAAACAAGATTTAAAAAATAATCAGATTAATATTTGGAAAAAGCATGTACTAAATTATCATATAACCATTAAAATTTTGAAAAGGTTTATCAGTTTATCAAACTTCCTTTAAGAAGTAAAATGAAAATCTGCGCGCTAAATTTTAAAATATTAACATTGGCGTGTAATTTTAATGTTAGTTGTTTGCAAGTTTAAAAAAGGAATACTAATTCGTTAATTATCAAATATTAAGTTATTTTTGTATTTATAAAGTTCAGTCATGAAGAACTAATACAAAAATTAAAATGAAAACAAAGAAAATAATAAAAATGTTGACCGTCCAAAAAAAGCAGTTGACTGTCAATACCAAGGGTTAGCTGTTCATATTGACCGCTCGCCTTCGATTCCTTATTTTACATGCTGATATATATATATATATGCATGTATATATATATATGCATATATATATATATGTATGTATATATATATATATATATATATATATATATATATATATATATATATATATATATATATATATATATATATATATATATATATATATATATATATATATATATATATAGTTATTGTTTTTAATTTTAAATTTAGGCATTAAGCTGCAATATTTCATCTTTAGAAGAAATATGCTCCTTAGCAACAAAGTTAATAACTTTTTTAGATTTGGCTGGTCATCATAAGTACATAAAAACTACAATTTTTGGTCTTACTGGGTGTTCTCCTGAAGTTGTGTTATTGGTAATAGATGCTAACCGAGGAATAGGTATGATTTTATTGGATTTGAGTAACTAGTACTGAGTATATATAAGTTTTTGAAATAAAAACCTATGAAGTCTAATAATTTTCCTAATTTATTTAAAATTTTATTGATAATTTTGTAAACATAATATTCTCTTTTATATAAAAGTAACATGATTTATACAATGTTTAACATGAATAGTTCTACTTTGGTTGATTTCATTATTTAATATTCTTTTGTAAAATAATGGTTGTTGATAAACTAACAGTAAATTTTTAGCACCTCAAATATTTTATTAATTTCTATATAAATAAATGTTTTAATGTTTTGTATATTATAAATCTTTAATACATCAATTCGACAATAAGTATATGCAAAAAAAAAGTACATACATTAATTGAGAGGTTTGATTAAGGTTTTTATCATCATAATAAAAATGGCTAATAACCTATTACATTATCATTCACCATTAAAATTAGGGTTTGCAAAAAAGATGAAATACTGTGTATTATTTTTTCAAAACAACTTCACTTAAAAATATTATATTTATATCATATTTTTCCAGACCTTTTTTTTGAGGATTAAGCAATATTTGATTTTAGTGTTAAAGATATGTGTTATCAGCATTATTTCATCAAGTGAAAATCATTTTTGATATCAACATAACCTAATAAGCAAGCTATGAAACTGTATTTTTCTAAAAACCGTATAGATGCACAGGAGGCACAATCGCATACTTTTGATATTCATTTGAATGCGTTTATGTAAAAACTTGAACAGAAATAGTTTTGTTTTGAGATGTTGGAAATTAGATTTGTTTTTTTATTTAATTTTTATGAGTTTTTGAATAAAATATAAAGTTAAGAATTTATTGAATGAGATAACTCAGACTGTAAGTACAATGAATTCATACACAGTATGCAAACGTGCAACAAAATCAGCAAATAATCTGAGCTGTGACAATTGTAAAGAAAGTGTACCCCCAACGATTTTTGAGAGGGTGCAGTTGTGCCTCACAATGGGGGAAAAACCATTTTTTTCTCTAAGTAAATTTTGTGTAATTTTTTTTCAGTAAAAATGAACAATGGTTGGTTGCCCTCATATAGCAGGTCTCAAAAATGGTCTGAGGGGCGGCGATGTCCGGCACTTATTTCAACCCCTGTATATATATATATATATATATATATATATATATATATATATATATATATATATATATATATATATATATATATATATATATATATATATATATATATATATATATATATATATATATATATATATATATGTATATATATATATATATATATATATATATACAGGGGTTGAAATATATATATATATATATATATGTATATATATCAATGTCTACAATTCCTCTTACTTTCCTACATAGCTAAATATAGAAAGTTTTGTAATTTTTTTAAGAAATATTTAAAATTTTAACTATTGTGTTTTTATTTTTTTCAGTGGGAACAACAAAAGAGCATTTGGGACTTGCAGTAGCATTGAAAATTCCTTTTCTTATTGTTGTTAACAAAATTGATCTCTGTGATCAATGTGTCATTTCTAAAACAGTGAATCAGCTTGAAAAAATATTAAAGTCAACAGGACTAAAAAAAATTCCTATGATTATTAATGATCAAGATGATGTGCTATCTGCTGCTAGTAATTTTTCTTCGCAACAGTAAGAAATCACTTGTATTATTGTTTGGTTATGGTTAACTATTTTTATCATTTTTTATTTACTATACATTTTAGTTTGGTTAACAAAATACAAAATGTTTCTTTTTTCTTTTTTTTTTTTACTTCTATTATTATGTTTTATTTATATTCTTTGACTTTTTTTTGTGAGACTCTTTTACATTGCTTTTTTTGACTTTTGCTTTTATTCTTTGACTGTCTTCATTCATTCTTTGACTGTCTTCATTCATTCTTTAACTGTGTTCCATTCATTCTTTGACTTCATTCTTTGTTTCATTCATTCTTTGTCTGTGCTTAATTCATTCTTTGACTGTGTTTCACTTATTTGTCTCTTTTAATGATCAGGATTGCTCCAATCTTTCAAGTATCTAGTGTGACTGGAAAGAACTTGGATTTGCTTCGTTCATTTTTTAATGTGTTGCCGTCTTTAAAAACAAGGATTCAACAAGATGAACTTCTTCAACAATCTGCTGAATTCCAAGTTTGTTTTTTTTTTTTACAGAATTGTTTTACAAATTACAGAATTGTTCTGCAAATTACAGAATTGCTTTTTATAATCTAATAGATATAATAAACAATTTTTTGAAAACAAAACGTTTATTAAATGAAATTTCTAATTTTTTTTTGTATTAATTTTACTTTATTACTACCAGATTGATGAGGTGTTCACAGTCCTGAATGTAGGTTCAGTTCTGGCAGGTACTTTGAGATCTGGTACAATTAGAGAAAATGACAAAATGATTATTGGTCCGACAGATGATGGTTCATTTTTTCCTGCTGTCGTTGCTTCAATTCATCGCAATCGTTCTCCATGTCGCCTCATACAAGCAGGATACAATGCCTGTATATCTTTAGCTGACTTACCAAACGGATTTATTTGTCGCAGAGTATGTTTTAATAAATTTGTGTTACAAACAAATACTATTTCATTTGAAATATAATACAATATAATGTTTTCAGGGTCAAGTATTATTGGAGTACAAAGAAAGCCCACCTGTAACTTGCATGCAGTTCGAAGTTGACTTTTTTTTGTTGTTTCATAATACTAAAATATCAAAAAAGTTCCAAGCCTCTCTTCATGTTGCAAATGTTGTTCAAACTGCTGTGATCAAAAGAATGGACAAAGTTTGTTTTTAATTTTTTTATAAATAGTTTATTTACTTTCTCCCTTTTCTAAAAGCTCATTTATTTTTCAATTATTTTAGGATTTTTTGCTTACTGGTCAACGAGCAAATGTGCTTTTTAATTTCATTAGTCGCCCTGAATACATCCGAAAAGGTGACAGAGTATTGCTGCGTCAAGGTCAAACAAAAGGAATAGGAGAAATTAAATCCATTTACCCATACATAAAAGAAAGTAAAAATTCAAATAGTGATTCTGAATAAATGGTTTCTTACTTTTTTATTGTTTTGTACTTTTTTAAACGACACACATCATTTTGTACCTTTGTAAAAGACACAACAAAAGGAATATATTTTGTATGTACATATATATATATATATATATATATATATATATATATATATATATATATATATATATATATATATATATATATATATATATATATATACACTTGTATGTAAGTATATATATAAGTTATCTCATATATTTTATTGTATGTATATATGTTTTAATATGTATGTATATATGTATGTGTGTAATTGTATATATATATGTATATATATTTATATATATATATATATATATATATATATATATATATATATATATATATATATATATATATATATATATATATATATATATATATATATGTATATGTATATGTGTATATACATATACATATACATATACATATACATATACATATACATATACATATACATATACATATACATATACATATACATATACATATATATATATATATATATATATATATATATATATATATATATATATATATATATATATATATATATATATATATATATATATATATATATATATATATGGGGTTATGTAAAATAGATATTATCACTTTATATTGATTTTAAAATTTGTATATATAATTATTTATCAAAGTTGTGCAATAAATGAATCTTCTGTAAAATTTTCTTCATTTACAAATAGTTTGAAAATTAGAGTTTTGTAATATATACATTTTCAATATATTTTACTTTCCGTTGAGATTATTTCCCCAAAATGAAAAAGCGTTTATACTCAGAGATATAATGAAGTTCCAATTACTAAAAAAATGATTAACTGGTGTCTTACTATGCTTAGAGTTAAGTTTTAGTTGACAATTAAGTTTTTATTTGACAGATTAATATCTTTAATATCGCTTTTTTTTTATAAATTAAATAAAATTATTTTAAATTTAAAAATGTACAATGCAAAATCGAGCGTTCGAGCTTTTGAACAAAGAAAGGCTACAATATTTTTTTTAACAATTATGGTGTAATATTTAAAGATTTTCATCATACCTATCAAATCGTACTATGACAATATATTAATATTAGTATAGTGCGCAAAAAAAGTTTTGCTTCTTTTAGAAATAAGAAATATCTAACATTGACAATACTTACAGTCCCTGGTCACAATATTATGATCACCTCATTTTTTTTTTTTCAAAGTTATTTTAAAGTAATTTTAGAGTGAGCATATTATTATTACTGACTTATTATACAATACTAACATCTATTGAATAAAATAGAAAAGAAAACTTCTTTATAATCATGACCAATGTGAAGTTAGGTATGTTTTAAATTAGCAATGTGAATTTTTGTTAATTTTAAAAAGAACGTGTTTTATCTGCCACATACATTTTTTTTATATTTTAACAGTTTTTTTTTAGTGAAAAGTGTTTTATTATTTTTAATACATTTTATAAAGTTACTATAAATAGCAGGAATTAATATATAGTACCATTTTATTAACATTTTTAGTTTAGTAGGTTGTAATTGAAATTTTCAATAAAAATCAAACATGGATAAAGGTAAGGACATAAGTCCAAACAAAATTTTAGAAGTAAAAGCATTTTTTACAGCATTTAGAGCGTTCACAACAGGAAATAGCTAAAATGTGTAAAGTTTCGCAACCTTTGGTCAATAAAATTTAACACAAAATGGAAAACGATATCACTTTCTCCAAAAAGGAAAGGACGGAGTGGGTCAAAGCATAGAACCACTCCCCGGACAGAGAGAATTATTAGAAATATTCGTCTGGAAAATAGGAAAAAATCATCTCTCTTCTTGACAAAACTTGTTTGGAAAAGTCTGGAATACAAGTTTCGGAGCGCACAGTGAGGAGACGTCTGGCTAAAGATGGTTTAAAATCACACAAACCGGCTAAAAAGCCAAGGCTAACTCCAGCAATGATAAAAAAGAAATTGCAATGGGCAAAAAATCATAAGTACGACTGTTGGAGATAGAGAACATGTAAGTTTATCAATTTTTAATGAAATATTGTTGAAAAAGTTTTTAAATGTTGACATTTAATTAAGTTGACTTAATTACAACCACACTATAATGATTTTTTCAGGTGTGTTTTTAAACGAATCAACTTTTAAATTCTTGTTGGAAAATTCACCTTCGTCAAAAGAAGACCAAACGAAAAATTTTATCCAGATTGCATTGTACAAACTATTAAACATCCATCTAAAGTTATGGAGTGGTCAGTTATCAGCGGTAAAGACACAGGAAAACTATATATTGTCAATGGGATGATGAACCAAATACAGTATCAAGAGGTTCTGGAGAGCCAACTTATCCCCCAAATACAAGAAGTTTCCAAATAACAATACATTTACGTTTATGCATGATGTGCTCCATTCCATAAAGCTAAAAGCATCATAAACTTTCTTTAAACATAAAATATCCCCGTTTTAGTGGCCAGGAAACTCTCCTGACCTAAATCAGATTGAGAATTTGTGGAACATTCTCAAAAAGAAAACCTCTTCCGAAGTTTCAACAATTAAAAGGGATTTGATTGAAAAATTACTCTATCATTGGCGCCACAATGAAAAAATTGAGACAGCAGCAATAAACTGTATTAAAAGTATGCCAGACCGAATAGCTAAAGTCATTTCGCTGAAAGGAGAAATGACAAAGTATTAATATTTTTTCAAAAGTTTCAATCGAAAAGAGTATTTTTTTATTAAAATGTGTAAATTGATATTGAAATATTACTTTATTATTAAGGAAACATGTTTTATCAATAAAATATAACTAATATTGCAATTGTATTTTTTTATACTTTTTACAAACCTTTGAAGTTAAAAATAAACAAAAGTTGTAGGCGATCATAATATTGTGGCCTGCGACTGTATATCAGATCATAAAGATTTTAGGGGTCGTCCATAAATTACATCGCGCTTTAGGGAGGGGGAGGGAAGGGGTTAGTGGTTTTGTGACTACTCATACGGAACTATTTACGAAAAAGTTACGATGTTGTGACGAAGGGATCTAAAACGGTCAAACATTGCATGTCGTAATTTGTGGACGTTCCCCTAGATGCTGCTTACTAAATGTTTTCTGTTATTAATGCTTTACATTAAGTTTAAATTTACTTCTAAAACTCAAAACAATTTTGTTTGTACTCATTGTCGTAAATACGATAATAGGTACCTTATAGGGTAGATGTGATAAAGGTGCTATATAGACCAGAAATAAACACCCTAAAAACCCCTATCTTTTTCGTAACAATAAAATATTTAAATCGGTGAGTCTTAAAGGGGCAACAATGAAAATTTTAGGCAAACTAAAAAAAAATGCATTTTCCCCCGTACTAAATTTTTGTTAATGGTTTAATAATTTTTTTGGAAGAAGATAATTTTTTTCACCTTCAAAAAAAATATTATTAAACCATTAAAAAAGTTTACAACGGGGGAAAATGCAGGTTTTTTTAGTTTCCCAAAAGTTTATATTATTGGACCTCACACCATTTTAATATTCACCGATTCATTTTAGATGAAGTTTATGTCAGAACTGTAGTTAAGACACTTTTAAAGTATTATAGCGTCTCTATGATATTTTGTTGACTCGACATATTTCCGTTAAATGGTCTGGTCTGTGAGTTACGAATAGACAAAAATATTAAAATGATAAATTTTGCGATATCACAAAATATAAATGTTTGTAGCGAAAAAAAACCAGATCGAAGGTTCTTTTTTTTAAAAAAAAAATAATTTTAAAATCACAATCGCTCGTCCGAATTTGAATAAGATTTTATATTAATCCGTTTTTTAGGTGAAATGATCATTATAGTTTAACAATATGATCTGTTCTGATTGTTTATTGGCAATTTTCCATAATTATAAGGTTATTCTTGGTCGGAATTCTAGAATTTTTGCGAAAATTGATAGAAATAATGTGTTGTGATACCTATATATAGTTAATATACGTCAACTTTTTCAAAAGATTTTAACTAAATTCATGTTAATGCCGATGAGCGAAATTAATCTAAAGACTCCAAAATGGTGTTCTTTAGATTCACTACTACGGGTAGTAAAAAGGTTTTAAAAATTATATAAAAAAAGAAAAGTTTCTTTAATTATTATAAAAACATTAAGCAAAAAAAAATTATAACATTTAAAGATCTTGATTGGACATAATATGCTGACAAAACCATTCTAATTCCAAATAAAAGTATTAAAATATTTTGTAAATCTCCTTAAGTACTCTAGATATTGGTATAGAAAACATTTTTAAACTTGAATAAAGAACAAAGAATTTCCTAGTTAAGTGCAGAAGTTGATTATTAGAAGAAGTTGATTCAAGCCAAAAAAAAATTCCACAAGGTATTATCATATCTTTTTGGAAACATTAATCCCTAATTTCAGAAAATAACACAAAAATTTTCGGGATCCAAGAAAAAAAAAACGTTTTTGTAAGAACACCTTAAGTCCATTATTTTTCCAAATACGTGCAATTAAAATTTTCAATTAGACGGTAGAAGATACTAAAGATTAAACAGTTTATCAATTTTAAGTAATAATTGCATAAGCTTCCCATGATCAGTTAAAAATTGAAAAGCCAGAATCCACTTAAACAACTATCTTTCTATCTTTCAGAATCCACTTAAACAACTATCAACACATATCTTCTATTCAATCTATATGTCAGAGATGTCTATGTAAAGTTGAACAAGATTTACATCCAATATATCGGTTTGCAAGCATATTCTGGAGTCTGGAGTCAGCACTGCCAGAGTTAAATTACATGTACAATCATTTTTTAACCTAAAATCAAGAAAATATAAAAACTTTTATATAGTAATATCTTATATAGTAATATCAGTAATATTTTAAAATAATACTGAGGCACAAACAATTATTGATGATAACAGTATAATATTACATTTCAAATGAGAAAGGTGAAGTACTTTTTGTAATCAAATCTTAAAAATTATTTGATGACTTGGATTATCTTTTTCCGGATATTTCCGGATTTTTTTTTCAACTCTAATTTTTGCGGATATCCAAAACGTTTTCCATACATATATGTTTACGTATATGCTTTTGTAATATATTTGTTTTTTTGAACAAACAAATTTTTTGGCAGGTTATTAACCTTTTTTCCTCTGGATGTTTTACGCCATTGATTAAAAACTGACCTCCAATCAGCTTTTAAACTCGAGAAATATCCAACATCTAAAGGTTGTAAAAGGTGTGTGGAATTGGGTACCAAACATATAAATGTTATATTATGCTTTTCACATATATTTAAGGCTTTTAAAGATATATGAGCACTTAAATTATTGCAAATCAGAATTTTTTTACCTTCCTTATTTATAATATTTGGAACAAAGTGATTTAACAGCCACTCTTCAAATATTTGAATTTCCATCCAGCCACTGCAAGTAGTTGCCATTCTTGATCCTTCTCGTGCGTTGAAAAGCCAGTCACAGACCAACTTTGTTTTCCTTTAACAATGAAAAATGGCGGAATTAGTTTTCCTGAGGCATTTCCACAAAAAACAACAGTGTAACAAGTTTTTGTTGTGTTTCTTATAAGTTCTGGATGGCGAGAGGATCGACGAAAAATAAGTTTTTTTTTTCCAGGGTCATCATGAAACCCTGTTTCATCCATATTGTAAATGTTATCTGGCGTTACTCCATTTAATTTCTTCTCTAGATTTTGAAAAAATAATTTTATTTGACAATAATTAATCTGTGCACGTTTTCTTGAAATACAATGAGATACTTTTTCTTTTAATGATGGATGCCTGTCAAGATAAAGTTTACACCACTCCCAACCTGGTCGGTTATCTTTAAACTGTTGTATATTTTTTCCACTATCATCCAGATAGATTTTGACAATACTTTTAAAATCATTAATTCCAATTGGTATACCTTTGTCACTTAAATAAAGTAAGTGATTTTCAAAACAAAGTTCCTCACCAATGCTAAGGGCAATAGGGCGCCCTACTGATTTACAGTGTTTACTTTTTAGCTTATAAAATAATGTTGCTTTAGGTACTTTATAAATTTTAGAAGCTTCACCAATCGACATTTTTTCTAATTTAATTTTGGCTAAAGCCTCTTGAAGTGTAGAATTGGTGTAATTAGATTTAGTGCCATATTTTCTTGTGCCAGGATGAGTTGTCGAACATTTTCTTGGCATTTTATGAATGCTAAAAATATAAAGATGATTTATGTTATTAATGAAAATTATTTAGTTAATTGCATATTTGCTATTAATAAAATATATTATTAAATCTATCAAGATATCAAAAATTAATATAATATAATAGTAATAGATATTATAATTTTTGATATTTATAATATCATATATCATTATATAATAAAAATACTATAATAAAAGGATGCCTATTATTTATTATGTATAATTGCAATGTTACTCAGACAGCAAAAAAAGCATTTTTGGAAAATATTGATTGTCTAAAGTTACCCTGAATTTGGTTATATTTTAGCTAAGTGGAAATAAATATCCTTTTTGTAGCAAAAAACATGTTAAATCCTATTATTTTGAGTTTGTATTAAAGTTCGAAAAATAATTCAATAAAATACTTAAAAATCTATTCAGATAATTACAATATAATACCAAATATTCTAAATTGAAAACACACGATGTTATCACCACATTCGATTGTGTAACTGGAAATGGAAGAAAACATTATTTTTGAGAAATAAAATTTAATTTTCTTTGGTCAAACTTTTGTAAAAAAAGATAATTCATCGTATTATTTTTTGTTAAAGCAACAGGCAAAGAAAATACCAAAGAAAAAAAAATTAAAAACATTTACACGTTTAGTTTAATGTTACCCGCAAATTCAAAGTTACCCAGAATGACTGTATGTATAAAGTAATGGTGGATATTTAAATTCAGGATTTTAATTTAGATTTTTTTGAGGACGCTTAGAATGGTTAGATATAATGCGGAACAGAACAAATGTAAAACTCGCAGAGGAAAAAATTAATTTTATGCTGCAGCCTTCAAGAATTGTTTCCTATATCCTTTGTTCTTGAGATGAAGTTCTACTAAATATCTCGAGATGAAGTTCTTACAGATGGTACACTTGTTTCAGAAATACTCTTTCCATTGGAGCTAAATCTATAATCTGGAAATAAAAACCGTTTGTATAATTTAGTTTCCATGAATATTTGGAGATAAGCAATAGGGTTTCCTATTGCTTTACTCCAAATATTCATGGAAACTAAAATTGCAAAAAGGGTAAAAGTTATTGGACAACGTGGAAACATTAGACAATGTTCTTAAATCCGAGTTTGACAATGTACCTAATAAACTAAGAAAGTTCATGAGTACAATGATTGCACTAAATAATGTGAAAAAAACTTGTTTTGGTTTAAGTTTAAACATGTTTTATAAAAATCAAATCAATGCCTACAAGGAAAAATATACGGAGTTGAAATAAAATGTAAACATTATTAATATGATAACATATTAACCATTATATAAAAGCTTTATATTTAAAGACTTTAAATATTTTTAAAGATATGTAATAAAATTTAAGAGTTTTTAAAATATCTAATAATATTGGAATAACTCATGATTGAATAAAGTACTTATTTCGCATGTGAAAATATTGGACTTTTGTGTTTTAACAAAAACAAATTTTTTTTAACTTGGATTCCGATAAAATTTTTCGTTGGTGTTAATTTTCTTAAAGTAGACATCAACGCAAAGCATTGGCGCCACCGCAGAAATGCGTTTTTTTTTGATTACGCAATCAAAAGTGGTAAAAGAAATCGCACTCAATTTTTCTATTAAAACTAAATAAAAGTAATTTGCACTAAAATTGCTCTATAAAATTAACAACATCTCGATTACCATACTAAGTATTGCATTTGTAACCAAGCGCCCCCAACTTCTTATCTAATTACCGAAGTTTGCAATACTAAAATTAATCAAACTGCGGTAACGCTAGTGCTTAATCAGTACGGTTTCAGAAAGGTATGACTTGATCCTGGGACATTTTTTAAGACTTGAACCTACTTCCTTTAGGGTCTTTTATATATTTCATTTCATTACCGATATATTTACACGCGGTAGTGATGTAGCAGTAGAGCGCTTGCTTCAAAAGCAAGAGGTTCTGAGTTCGATCCCGAACACGTCCCTGGTAGTACCACGCTCAACTTGTTTCTCCACGCAGCGGCCTTGTCCGTCAAGGTTCGTGTTTCGGAGTTTTCGAAACGAGAGAGGGTTTTAACCACAGTTAAGTGGCCTCCTTGTCAGTAGAGGCTTTCTCTGCTTAAAGGAGGTGAATTTACATTAGGATTTACGTAAGATATAAAAAAGAGTAAACGTATATGGTAGAGATATGGTTTGTTTAGATGTCATCCTTCAAAAGTACGCAAAAATCGATTTCCATCTTTATTTTCACATAATGCCTTTACTAGTCTATAACTTTTTTTTTTTATAAATCTTCATCTAGTGCTTAAAAATATCCACGAGAGCAAAGAGTTATGGCTGTTTGTGAATAACGTTGTTGGGGTGGGAGATTACGATTTGTAGTGAGTTACGATTTTGTGGGAAGGCAAGGGAGGATCAATACCTGTTTAAGAAAGTAAAATTTTACTGGTAACTTAGAGCTTTAGTCATTACGAGGTCACGAAAGTTTGCGCCAAATTAGATTTCTGTTTTTAAGTTTAGACTGAAAGTAACGCCGTTAGTTTCTCATGTTTCTTACTTAACTAAATGAGGATTTATAATATTAAATACAAAATTATGGGATATTCAAACCTATAAATAAAAATAAAGATTAAAAATGACAAAAATGATAAAAAATCATTTTTTGTGTACTTATGAAATATGCTATTTAGACAGACCAAAATATTTACTTTATCTATTTTATCATTTTTAGCTCTGAATTAGCCAATAAACTATACGAACTACCCATTGGAAAGTATGTACTTCGTTCTTTTTTCGAGTTTTAAAAAATTTTCGACTAAATTAATTAATGTTTCTAAAAATATATTAAAATATTTAGAAACCAATAAATATTGAAAAAAAATAAAATAAATAAATAAATAAATTATGGAACAAAGTTTCAAAATGAATAAAAATATATTAAAAGTCGGGTCGGAAAAATTCCGGAAATTTCCGGGAAATTCTCAAAAAATATTTATAGCAATAAACTTCATAGTTAATGTAAAATTTATAGTTACTTATAGTTTTATAAAATTCATTTCTTTGTTTCAAAAATATGTGCTTTATCATCGTAATATTTAGGTATTTCAATAAATAATATTTCAACAAAAAATATAAAATAATAAAGACCCACAAGCAAAAAATCTTTTAGTCATATTTTTATAGTCGATTCAAGAATCACGCTGTTTTTTTAAAAACAATAAAAAGCTCGTTGTTGTATGTTACTTTTTCTTACATTACTTTTATGAAACATCGTAGATGTTTTCCGCATTAGCTTGTCATTTGAGCTTGTGTATAACATAATTCTAGCTTTACTTCTCAACTACGATGTAAAATATTCATAAAAAATACAAAGAATAAAGTCTTTTTTAGGATTATAAATTTTATTGTGTGTTATTTTTGAGTGTTTTAAAGAAACAAAGATTTTTTATGCGTACTTATTGCATACAAAGACGGTTTTAGGGGAGGATGTGTTGGGGAAGGGGATGTTTAAGTCAAAGAAGGTAATTTTTAAGTTATAGTTGGTTTGTTGACGAATTTAGTCGGCTGGTATCTGACACAATTCAGTCCGGTGAATTTTATTTTTTAAAAACCTCTTTTATTTTTATTTTTAAAAAACGATACTTTTTACGGATTCCGCCCCCCTCCCTTCCACTCATTTTTAATATATTGATTTATAAAGTCAAAAGTCTCCTAGCAAGGTCGTGGCGAATAAGACTTTTTTTATTTTTTATTTTTGGTGCCCCTAGATGTCCTTACGGTCATATCACAGAACACCGCGGAAGCGCATTTGATAGGAAGTTTACGCCTCCTTCTTTACCGATGTTGTAAAACTTGCTCAGAGATGACGTAGAACAATGAATCTCTAGCTTCGGAGGCGAGCGCGCAAACCGCTGCGCAACGACTTAAACGCTCTTAAATAAACATAGCGGTGGACTTATGACCTGAAAATCATTAGTTCTTTATTTTTATTACTAACTTTATTTTTAGATAGTTAAAATTTACCAAAAATATTTCCCTACTATTTGCTTTTCATTAATCAATAACGTCATTAAATCAAGAAAAAATTGTAAAATACAGCAAATATTTATATCAAATCTTTTTATATACAATTTTACAATTTTCAGTTATTTATCGGTAACTTTAATAGATATTGACAAACATGGCAATAAACATCAATATGCTAGTAAATAACAGGATAAAACAGTTTTAGAAAATTTTGAAAACAAATGATCATAGTTGCTACTTATAGTTATAATAAAAAAACTTAAAAAACCCAAAAAAGAGTTTTTGAAAGGAGGCTTTCTAAAATTTGTATGATCTGCTTCATAATATTTTACCATAAAATTGTCCATAATAACTGCCTAACTAAGACATTAAGTTTTACCTATTAATTATAAAATAACTTATCTTTTTTTGACAATTTCCAAAATTTCCATTATATAACTTTATTTATTTTTTATACATTATTTACATTATATACCTATAATTATAACACATTAGCTATAAAGAACTTATAGTAGTAAATTAAAATTTCAAAAGTTATTGATAATTTTTTTTTCGATATAAAATTCTAATTTTCGTTTTCAATGTTTTTTCGGGTTTTACTGTAAACTTAGAGGCATATAACATATTTTTATTTTTATTTATTTTTATTTATTTGAGTTTTCATGCTATATTTTTCTATACAATGTTCTTATATCCGAAGATATTGTTGGCTTAGCATAGGAACAGCCACAAATAGTCATTAAGACTAATCCAAAGTAGCGTCCGTTATTGACCAACATTTTTGCGTACCGAAGTACTACTCAAGCGCTGAGTTGGCGGTGGCGGGATTTGAACTCGTATTGTTCAACAGTCCAGGTTTTAACTTTTCTTTTAACGCTCTAACCATCTGAGCTATCCCACCACTATCCCATAACAATTTTGTAGGGCTGATAACGGGTCGGGTATCAGTGAACCCGGACCCAGACCTGACTTATATTTTTTTTTTTATTTTTTTTTTTTTATTTATTTTTTGTTCTTTATTACAATATTTATGATACAGATACAAATAATATAAAAAATAAAAAAGAAAAGGTGACAAGTCAAGATATCGTTAAGAATAATATAATAATATAAAGAATATTAATAAATATAAATAAAAATAATTATATAAACGGCTCTGGGTTTGGGTTAGGTTTCAACAAACCCAACTCGGACTAAGACGCAATTTAATAAACGGGTCTGGGTAGGATTAAAGAGTTGGTATTGGTCTAATAAATGTAAGTATCATCATGGCCAAGAACTGTTCGGCAATTAAAGTAGTTTTTCTCAGTCATTATATTGTTGTAAACAATGAAAGTATTAAAAAACCAAAGTATTTAGCTATTAGAAATTCCAGCGTATAATGTAAGGAGGAGTGATAGGGTCTTTGAAGGCCTTCAGAGTTTACAATTATACCCGTGCGACGACACACCTAAAACAGAGGACCTTGGAAGTTTTTTAATAAAACAAGACCGTAAAGTATGTCTACTGACGCCATGGAAATATAAAGAAAATCTTTATGCGTTAGAATGTCTGAAGACTTTCGTGGTTTACTTTTTTTACATTTAATATTATCTTTATTAGTTAGAGAAAGGGCCGGCGCGAGTAGGTGTCATGTGGGGGGTGCCATTACGTTTTAAACTGCACAAAAGTTTTAAGGATGGTTCAAAACGGTATTTACTGAACATGGAATTAGATATATTAGATTTCAAATACCTTTTTTGAAAACAATTTAAAGGTTTAAACTAAATCACTTAAAAATAAATTAAATCTTTAACACTTTCTTTAGCTTTTATTAAAATGGTTTCAAACCATTAGTATAAAAGATAACGAAAATAAAATTGTCTTTTTATGTTCATATTTTTGATGATATTAAATAATCAGCCCAAATACTTATGTTTACATATATTGCTTTTTTTTATTTTATTAAACAACGCATTTTTTTTTGTGTTTTTATAACTTTCATGATTTTCTGTCGTTTTTACTTTTTTATTTTTAAAACTATTCTGCTGGAAGATTGTTAGCAACAAATTATTTTATTGCTGAAGTTTTTGATTTGTTTTTGTATTTATACTGTCTTTTTGTCTTTATCATTAATTGTGCATGTAAATTTTTGTGTGACGGGGCTCGGTGATAAGACAACCTGTCTTCTTCTTGCTCATTAAAATTTAGTTTATATTAAAAATATTCATTTTAAATAAAAGTGGTTTTGCATGAGTAAAACGATCTTTAAAGTTTATTAGTCGTGCTATATGCTTCTGTTGCCGATAAAGTGGATCTAATTGACTTTGTACTTGGTTGTACTTTTAGTACAACCCATGCAATATTTGAATAATTTAGATAGCATTGAACAAGTGAGTAATAAAGTTGAATTAATGCGTGTCTATTAACAAAACTTCTTGCTTTGTATAATATTCCAATATTTTTTGAAACATTGTTGCGCAAGGTTTTAATACAATTTTTTCATGTAAGATTTTTATCAATAAGAACAAGAAAAAGTATAACTTTTGATTGTTTTATTTAAATATCATCTATATATATTTGAGGAATATCATTTGGTAAAAGATATTTTTTGGATTTTGGATGAAAAAGTTTTTTCTTGTTAACTTAATTGAACCATTTTGAAATTTTGCGCAACAATGTTTCAAAAATTGCTCTATGATCATATCATTAAATGTTTGATATTATTTCTAAACAGAAAAAAGTTTCTGTCATCAGCAAATATTACTGTTTTTAAATTTGAGGCATTTTAAAAATCATTGATATAATTGAGAAAAAGAAGAAAAATAATGGCAAGTTAAATAAACCTTTTTAAATCATAAAAGGCTAAAAAAAAAGTAAATTTATTTTATGTAAACAATTAATTTATCAAAGTAATCATGATGCTTACGTTGCATCAAATTTTTTTGGGTAAATTGAATCATAAAATAACTGCAGGTTTTATTGATTTTACGCTAAAAATTCTACAAAAACTGAAAAAAACACTTAAAAAGTCTGATTTGTTGAATTGAAATTCTTTAGTTTCTTTAATACTTGTTTGTTTCTTAATGAAAGCTTGGAACTTTTTTGTTATCTAAGTTTGATTTTTGTTTGTTTTTATAAAATTATGTATAAAATTTAAATAAAATATTATTGTGTTTTATAAAATTTTTGTATATTATATTTAAATGTTTTTATAAGAGCAGAAATATCCTAAAAACTTCTTTTTCCTTTCTTTCTCATTGGAAAACACCATAATGTCTCGATGTCATGTCTCGATGATAAGACTATTTGTCTTCTCCTTGCTCCGACCAGGATTTTCTATTGTAATTTCTCTTTTTGTAATTTTTAACTAACGGCAAAATAAAATGACATCTTAAGGTAAAAATCCTATAAATGGTTCTGAAAAATTATTAATTACATTTGTTTTACACGATATATTTTTAAATCAAAGGATTGTTTATATGATCAAAAACCTATTATTTAACCAAACCGTATAATATATATATATATATATATATATATATATATATATATATATATATATATATATATATATATATATATATATATATATATATGTTATATATATTTTACATATATAAAATTTTTTATATATATTTTATAAATATATATATATTTTTTTAGCTTAACATTAAAAAAATTAGAACTTTATATAAAAATGTAAAACCAACACGTTAAGTTTGCGAGCTGAATTTAACCGTTTTTCATTTTTATCTTTGAGAATGGTATCTTGATTTATCTTTTTCAGAACATGTTGAATATTTATTAGGATACTATAAAGGTCAAATAGATTTATTTGAGTGAAGCATTTTAAATTTCCTTGACTCCTAAGTCCCGTAACCATGAAAAACAATTTTTCTGTTACCATGACAGCTGTTGCCATGAACAAAAAGCTATATCCTTTTTCTGTGGTTGTCATTTTAGTTCAAAAAGATTATGAAATTTAAGATTTTTTATTGGGATAACCTTTCTTAAAGTCTTTTAATTGAATTGGTTTCCACGGTAACAGCACCCAAAGTATATAATTTTTTATGCAAGTTTCTCACCATAGAGTTCTTTTACATCTCTGATACATAACTTCGGTTCTGTTTAAAGGTTTTAATGGTTTAGCGGTTTTTAAATTTTGTTTAACGCCCACCTTTATAAATAATAGAACTAAAAAACTTGTATTTGGAAGATCAAGCATTAAGCTGACAAATACAAATATCGTTCTAATGATTTTGATAAAAATTACAATGACAAGCAGTGTCTTGACATCAGATAAAGATTTTGTTATAAACATCTATGTCAGTTAATCAGATAACTTACCAACTAGTATAGATTCATTTTAAAGCTAAATAATTTAAGTAACAAAAATAGTTTTGTGAACCATTTAAAAAATAAACATAAATTTTTGTTTAAATTATATTATTTTGCTACGTCTATTAAAAGAATAAGTATAATTTAAATGATTTTGAAAAGTGTTTATTAAGATCATTCGAGTTTCAAAATGTTCGTTAAGTTCATTCGAGTTTATCTTAAAATATTTAATTTTCCATTAGATGTTAATATCATCTCAAAGATGTTAATATCATCTCAAAGATGTTAATATCATCTCAAAAAGATCAAAGTTTAAACTTTCAAGATTTTTTTAATATAATACATTTTATTATTTATTATTTTAAACTAAACAAAGTCTAAAACGTTAGTAAATATTTTTACATAGGTAAATATTTACAAATGATAACTTTTTCAACGTTTTCCAAAATCCTTATTGATGACTGTGATTAGTTATTTCAAAAAACCAAAATACTTTAAACTGCTATTTCGCGTATACATTTTTTAAATGGGTATTCAAAAACTGCTTGATGTTTATGATTATTAAATTAAAAAATTAGAAGTTTGAAACGGTAAATCACAAACAACTGGACGTTTGCAACTGGTACAACTTTGGACCTTTCATAAGCAAAAAGTTTTGTATATTTAAGCTGGAAATGAAATCACCAAAATTATCTGTGTCAAGCTTCAGTTGCTATAAAAAAAAATTAAATTAAAAGACAAGAAAAATAATACTTTTTGTCGGGTGAACAAATAGTGGACTGCAAAGCACTAATTTTGCGTTCACAAATTTTCTGTTTTACTAATGCAATGAAAACTTTTACATTTTCCCCTGGAAATTTTAACCCGACAATTGTAACAAAAAAAACTTAAAAAAAATTTTGAAAATTTTAAATAAATAAAAAATTGTACTTTGGCAATTTTCAGCATCTGATCAAAATGAAACAATGAGCTGTTGTTTCTTTCGGATATTTCGTTTAACTCTGATATAAACTTTTTGGCCTGTTGAAAAAATATAAACCTGATACTAGTTTTTTGAAAATTTAACATTTTTCTTAGATTTAAATAAATTATTTATCTTTAAAGACAAGTGTTTCGCTTATTTTGTAGGCTTATTAATTACTACCTGATAGCGCTTGCTCATTCCAGAACCGTTTTGAGATCTGCTATAATCTAAGCTGCCATGTTCATTAGTTAACGTATCAATCAAGCTATATTAAGAATTAAAAAAAAACTAAAATTCAACTAAAAAAAAAAAAAAAAAATTTATCATCAGAAGAATGCATTAGCATATAAATCATTTGAAAACTTGCAACAAACCATATACCTGCTTTTCATGATTTCAATAACATCACGAGCATCCTGGGCAGTTGCATTCTCACGCAATTCTAGCCTTGCTCTCGCCTAACCAATAAAAAATATTTCAAGTTCTTGTTTAAAAAATACCTGAAATTAATAGACGAAGCAAAAAAAATAAAAATATTTTTGACTTATCAAACAGACTAAAGGAAAAAAAAACAAAAACAACCTCAGTTAGCCTTATAAGAGCTTCTAGCTGACGTGTGGTAATTGGCATGCTATTAGAATCTTGTCTTGCATTACGAAGATTTAAGTAGAAATCCTGAATCAGCAACCATTTAAAATGAGTAATTATGTATTAATTCAGATTAACTTAAAGCTGGAGTAGACCTACCTGCAACACTTTTACTGCATCCTGAGATAATTCAGGATGGACGTATTTCCGGGCGTACTGAATATATTTTCGTAACAGCTGAGGAGGTAAAGCATCAAAAGACTCATTTTTATCAATTTTAAGTCGCTCAATTAAAGGCTTATCTTCATTCCACTGGTCAAGCAGACCATCAACATCCTTGTTGCGTTCAACAGTTACTGATGGAATGCTAAAACCAAAATTAATTTTAAAATATTAATGAACTATTAAAGACATCGAAGTTTCATTGTTTATAACATTTTTTTTTGTTATATTTTTCTATCGAAAAGTATAACAAAAAAACCTTAAAGTCAAAGATTTACTATTTTAAAGGCAATTGTTTATTAAGATGCCATCTGTTTGAACTGATGTTAGTTTATTATCAAAATGTTAAGTGTGGTCCAATGGCGATTACTGAAAAATTATGCATATTTTTTATTTTTGATTATGATTCAAATGCCAAGTAGAACATTAAACAACAGGTAAAATTAGTGTTATTTATTTCTACAAAATCCTTCCCCAAAATTAAATCAGGAGTTTCTTATTAAAATTTCTATATCATAGATAAGCTGTCTTCAATATAGCTTAGGAGTTTCACGTGCTATCTGAGTTCAGATCTAATATGAACAAAAAATTTGTTCATATTAGATCTGACTCAATTTTTTTTTCTTTTACTTTTTCAAAGTCTACCTAACATCACCACGACCACGACCACTTTAATTTTATGAGCTATTTTCTCGCCTTCAAAATGGCTTTGATAACAGTTGCATAAACATCATTTTTTTCTAAGTAAAATGTTTCTAATTGTATATTGAAAAAACACATTTTTAAATATTTTATTTTCATATACTTTTTTCATTGCATGAAAGTAACAAGCTTTTTACTGAACTGAATTTTTTTTTTTTTTTAAATAAAAAGCAAAAACAAGTCATTACTCACTTATCAAGATTAGAATGCAATGAAACAACATGCTCTGACAATATTCCATCAAGTTCTTCATCTGGTTGATCAAGCAAAACAAATACTAAATCGAATCTTGAAAGGAGAGCACTACCCATCTTTAAGTTTTCAGAAACTGTTTTTCCACGATTATAGTGTCCACCAACTGGATTTGCAGCAGCAAGAATAGAAGTTCTTGCAGGTAAGCTAATCACCAAAATTATGATGAGATTATTTTTAAAATATATGTATCTAAATATAAAATTTTATTCAGAAAAAAAAACTTATCTAGGTCTCCAGGACTACCAGACTTTATTTTTTATTAAATTTTTTTTTTTTTTTTGCATGAAATTAGGTTTTTAGTTTCATCAATTAACTTTTAATATAATTGTGCTGAATAAGTAAAATTAATTCAATTAAACTCGCCAAATTTTTAATTTCAAACTTTTTGCTCAAATTTTTTGTTTTAAGCTGCTTTTCTATTTTAAAATTTTTGAGTTTTTTTATTTTAAATATTTTAATTTTTAAATATTTTTATATTAAACTTTTTTATTTTAAATTGCTTTTATTTTTAAACTTCTTGCTCAAGTTTTTACACGAAATTAAAAGGACTTAAAAATACATCATTTAAATGCTAAATTTAGGTTTAGTCTACCAGCTTCAATAGATTTAAGCAAATTTAATATTTAACTATTTTAAATATTTTAGCTCTCAATTTAATTTAATTATATCATTGTGTTTAAATATTTAGATAACTGTAATAAAACAAAAGTTTTTAGAAAATTATAGAGAAAAATTAATGTACATATAATTTATATTATGTTTAAGTAAGCTAGAAATTTTATGTTTAAGTAAGCTAGAAATTTTATGTTTAAGTAAGCTAGAAATTTTATGTTTAAGTAAGCTAGAAATTTTATGTTTAAGTAAGCTAGAAATTTTATGTTTAAGTAAGCTAGAAATTTTATGTTTAAGTAAGCTAGAAATTTTATGTTTAAGTAAGATAGAAATTTTATGTTTAAGTAAGATAGAAATTTTAAAATTCAATATACTTTGAAATAAGTTTAAACTTTTTACTTCATTTTTATTTAAATACATACATGGACAAAATACCAGCTTTAAATGCATACCTACATAAAATACTAGCTTTAAATGCATACCTGCACAAAATACCAGCTTTTGCAATGCTTATGCTCTGCTGCTCCATTGCTTCAAGTAATGCTTGATGTTGACTACCCATTTTATCAAACTCATCAATGCAACAGCAACCTTTAAAATCATATTGCACTCATAATAATATATATATGTTATTATGTACATGATATGTGCATAATAACATATATTAGTATAGTCTTCGGCTTGCAGGACAAAAAAAAACTTTGGTATGCAGGATAAAATATTCTTTGGACTGCAAATTAAATTTTTTGATGTTATTAAGAATACTTTTGAGTAAATGATAACTAAAGAATTTTTCTTATTTTTAAAATTTTAAAAGATTTTATAAGCTAAAATTTATTTGCAAGTTGAGCTAAAAGGTTCGTAGACAGTTCAAATTTAATTTAAAAAACTTATATTTTTTAATATTTTATACAAGGGTTTCAGTACATACACCAACTAAGAGTTTTGGCAGGTGCAATCTAGATATTAAGGAGTTTTATTGAAGAAAAAATAAATTCTAATTTTTTTTTAATTATTCTTAGTTTTTCTCTTCTGTTAATGAACAAAACTGTTTAGCTGTTTTACTGTTTAGTAAAATAATTTAAGTCTTAAAGCAAAATATATTTGGATACTGCACACTTATATACACTTATTTTGTTAACTAAATTTTATTTTGTTTTATAATCATTATATAAAGTTCAATATAAAATCAAAACAACAACATACAAAAAAGAAAAAGTTACATACTTAAATAAAGTTAAAATATAAACACCTTTATCCGCCAAGACAAGAGCACCTGCTTCTAATGAATAATTACCAGTTCCACTTTCCTTTGAAAGTGTCACTGTAAGACCTGTAGTAGTTGTTGTACTGCCACATACATATACACTGCGTGGTGCAATATTAGCAACTGCTTGCAAAATTTGACTCTTGCCTAAACCAGGATCTCCAACTATTAACACATGAATATCACTGCGCACAGGAATTAAATTCTAGAACAAATAACTTGAAAATAATTTATTTATTTAAGAAATAATGAAAATAACTTTATAATTTCATAATTTTCTAGATTTTGTTGAAACTTTTCTTAAACATAGATAATTATAGGTACCTTACTGTCTACGTATTTTTGAGAACCACCAAATAATGCTAGTGCCAAACCTGCTTTAACAAGCTAGAAATATAAAAAAACAATTATCTTCAGATTTAATAAACTAGAAATATAAAAACAATTATCTTTAAATTTAATGTATGTAATGTTGACAAAAAAACAAAACAACAACTTACCAGTAGACCATATATAGTTGGACATAATGAACCAACAATCAATCGAAACAACTTTTGCTCTTCTTGGATTTCACGAATAGCATACAATTCCTATAAATAACATTCAACAACAATAAATAGCATACAATTTCTGTAAATAAATAAAATAACAGTTTAAACAAAAGTTAAATATAAAGTAAAACCTATCTGGAAATAAGAAGCATTTAAATTAATTATGGATACCAATTTTTTTTCAAAAAAAAATCAAAGTTTTAATAATTTTTTTATATGGTGTTTTACGTGTGCATGAAAACAAAAGATTAAAATTTTAGCATTTATATGTATGTGTGTGCATGTAAACAAAATGTTTAAAAGGCTTTCCTTTACCAGTAAGTTTAGAAAATCAAACTCACAAGGTTTAATAATTACACTAATAAACTAATGCCAGTGCCAACTAGAATAATACAAAAAAACCAAGGTTTTCAAGAATTCAACTTATTTCAAAAATACTTTTCATAAAAATTTTTAATAAATTTTAATTTTGATATATTTAAAACAGCAAAATTTTTTTGAAATTGAACAAACAAACTGTATCAAACGACTTTGTAAAAAAGATATTTAATTTTTGATCAGCAAAATTAAAATTACTAAGCAACAAATTGTTTAGAAAAACTTTTTCACAACTAAAAAGAATACAAGATGTTAAATAATCAAAAAATTAGTTTTTTAATCTTGTATAATAATAAAAATGTAACAATATCTTTGTTAACATGACTTATTTGACAGAGTTTATCTTCTTAAAAAAAAAAGAGGAAAATTTTAACGACATATTTGTTCTGTAAATTACATTTTTTAAAATAAATGCTCAACTTAAAACATTCTACCTTTAATGTGAATTCTGAAGAACCATCTTCAATAACATTATTTTGTGAGTCTTTGTTGTTTGTTATAGAAATAGCATGAATATATAATATATATATTGAAGTATCAATAGTTTTTCCCATATCTAAAATGTTAAGTATTTATTATTAAATAAATTTCAAAATGATTTTTTCAATACTTACTATCTCCTACAAAATGAGAAAAAACTCTTAATATCAAAACTTCCAACTATAACACTTTTTCAATTAAAAAAAAAAACTTTTTTTTTTAACTACAAAACATATTCTTATTTCATCAAAAAATTTAAAAGTAAATACAATGAAATATTTGAAATATTGAAAATAATCAACAAAAACATAAACATAAAAAATATTACTATTTTCCTCTGAAGTTACTTTAACAATTCCAGTACATGTGATAACATCTCCAGGTACACAACTATCAACTATTAAGAAAATTTTATAACTTTTTCTTCAAAAAACATTGAATATTATACTTTTATACTATAAAATTTTGTTATATTTTTAGTTATATTTTTATTTTTAGCAATGGGTGTTTCATTTTTCGTAAAGTGTGATTACAAGTAATACAAGTGTGATTACAAGTAATACAAGTGTGATTACAAGTAATACAAGTGTGATTACAAGTAATACAAGTGTGATTATAAGTAATACAAGTGTGATTACAAGTAATACAAGTGTGATTACAAGTAATACAAGTGTGATTACAAGTAATACAAGTGTGATTACAAGTAATACAAGTGTGATTACAAGTAATACAAGTGTGATTACAAGTAATACAAGTGTGATAGTAATACATGTAGTATCTTTGTATCACTTAAAGTTACAATTGAAATGCGTAAAAAATTGATACAAAGATATATACACAAAAATTCATTATGATTGGACAATATATGGAGGTTGGGCACTTTAACTCAAATCAACAAAACTTATAATTCTTTGAAACTTTTTTGGCCATTCTTGAGAACTTATAGTTCTTTGTTTCAGTGTATGTTTTCTTTCTATTATTTTTATTTAAAAATTTTTATTTGCAAGTTAATAATTATGTTTAAAAATGGAAACTAAAAAAAATATTTAGTTAGTTGTTGTAAAAAGTTCCTAAAGATGAGTTATTACAAGCTAGTTAACATCAACATCAATGCTAGTTAACAGTTAACAGTTAACATCAATGCTAGTTATGCTAACATCAAAGCTTGTTAACAGTTAACATCAATGGAAGAGAGAGGAACCCATACCTCAAATGGAAATCAGCAGCTCAGGCCATTCAATCGCTCTCAACATCTTACTAATCTTTTGTGCTTCTACACTAATGCAACCTACCTCAATCCAATAAAACTCATCGAACTCTCCTTACTCGCAGAAAACAACTCCTTTGACATTATTTTTATAACTGAGACAAGGTTCAATGACCAATCAACTCCCTCTTTTCCAAACTACAACCTCTATCGCTCAGACTGTCTAAACCAAATCGGAGGAGGTGTAGCTATATACACAAACAATAAAATCATCTCAAACTAACTACAGGAATCCTTACTACACAAAAAATTTATTTGATACTATTCAGAACAATTATGGGTCGAACTAAAGCTTCTGAATGAAACTCTGCTTTTAGGCTGTATTTATAGGCCTCCATCTTCTAGCATTGAAGCCTTCTCAGAGATTTCAAGTGCTATTTTCCATGCCGAAACATCATTATTGACCAAAAAATACAATAGTATGATCATTCCTGGTGATTTCAATTTCACAGAGATTACTTGGACTTCCAATTCAGTCTTCTCCTCTAGTAAAATCGGTCTCAGTTCTTCATTTGTCTCTCATCTTCAAGATTGTCATCTTTACCAAATTGTCACTGTCCCTACTTTCAAACCTGCTAATCGCCCTACGACAAACTCTCTTGATCTCATAATATGTGACTGTCCATATCGTGCTAACGAAGTCAACATTGGTCCTCCACTCGGTTTGTCTGATCAATATCATTGCTCTATCCCCTGGCAATACAAACTGGCTTCCACTGGAAAATTATCGCATTTCAACAGCTCTAAATTTATTTACAACCTCGGTAACTACGAAAAAAATCAACAAAGAATTCAATAAGGTTGACTGGTCATCTATTTTTAAAGAATTAAACATAGAACAATGTTACTAAATTTGGCTAAACAAATACAATGAATATTGTCTTCAATTCATCCCTTGCATGCCGAACAAACCATCCCCAAATAAACAACCATGGATGACAACCCACTCTAATGGAACTCTCATCACTAGATATATCTAAATCACTTGGTGTAGACAATGTCAGTTCTCACGTTTTATGCTTTTGTTCTACCTCAATGTCTACTGCACTTACTCTCATCTTTCAAAAGTCATTTGACAATGGTGAAATTCCAAACTCATGGTCCAAAGCAAATGTAACACCTTTATTTAAGAAGGGCTCCAGAATCGACCCATCAAACTACAGACCAATATCTCTCACCTCAATTCCATGTAAAATAATGGAGAAACTAGTTAAGAAGACAATCATGCAGCATCTAAAATCAAACACTATTCTATCAAATAGTCAGCATGGCTTTTTTAGAGAAAAAAGCATGCATTACAAATCTCCTTGAAACAATGGATTTATTAACTAGAAATTTGGCCAGAAAACTACCAGTTGACGTCATATTCTTGGATTTTGCAAAAAGCATTTGACAAAGTGCCACATCAACAAATGCTTTACAAACTAAAAATGTATGGAATTGAAGGTAATCTTCTCAAATGGATAAAGCTTTTCTACTTAACAGGTCTCAACGAGTCATCCTTGGTGACACTCATTTGAATTGGTTACCTGTGACAAGTGGAGTTCCGCAAGGATCAGTCTTAGGTCCTATTTTATTTGTCATTTTCATTAATGATCTGCCAGATGTAATAAGCAAAGAAAACATTTGTAAGATCTACGCTGATGACACTAAAATTCTGAGCATTGTCAACCCACTTGCTGCTCAACTTTAACTCCAATCAGATATTGACCAAATTGTTCATTGGACTAAGTCTTGGCTCATGGGGCTAAATGCAAAGAAATGCAAGGTCATGCACTTTGGCTAAAAAAAATTAATTCCTTTCAAGTATTCAATGGAGGAAATATGTCCTTTTTCAATAACGACTCGAACTACATTAGAAGCAACCACTTCTGAGCGTGACTTGAGAATTCAAATTACCAATGACCTTAAAGCAAAAACCCAATCCATCATTGCCTCATATAAAGCAAATAATATGCTAGGCATCCTAAAACACACTTTCCAGTCTTGTGATGCTTCTTTATGGAAACAACTTTACTCCACCTACGTCCTTTACTTGAGTTTGCAATTCCAGCTTGGAACCCTCATTTGGTGATGAACAAACTATTGAGCTAATACAGCGCAGAGCCACAAAAGTACCAGACAAACTGAAAAAGTTAAACTACAAGTCCAGATGTTTACAACTTAGCCTATCTACTCTAGTTGAACGTCGCAAACGAGGCGACCTTATCCAAAAATACAAAATTGTTAATAACATTGACATAATCAACTGGCACTTTCCCCTCATACAATTCCACCAAGAGCAAATCACAGAGAAAGACTTCATCGTGAAAAGTACAGCAACCATTGAGCTCGCTTCCACTTTTTTAACAATCGCATTGTCAATGCATGGAACATGCTACCAGATAAAGTAATCAATTCTCCAACTGTCAACAGTTTTAAAGCAAGCCTTGATAGGCTCAAATGTTACTACAGTTCGCAGCTTTCCTTAGTGAAAACTGCAATATGAGCTTCACAAAAACTAACTGTAATCTGACAACCTATGATTTGTATTTTGTCAATTATTTTTACTTTTGTTGTAACAAATATATACTAATACTACTACTACCTCAGTTTCCTTTAAAAGATGAGTTGTTACAAGCTCAGTTTCCTTTAAAAGATAAGTTATTACCTCAGTTTCCTTTAAAAGATGAGTTATTACCTCAGTTTCCTTTAAAAGAACAAGTACTTATTAATCACTAGGAAATAATAATAAAAAATATCTCTTTTGAATGCTGAAAAACTCTTTTGAGAAAACTTATTTGAATGCTGCTAAATCTACCAGTGCTAAATTACAAGAAGTTCAAAAAAAGCAAATATTCTAGGCTCTAACAGAAAAAAAATATGTGCCAATATACAGAGGTAGTACAAGAAATACTAAAATTTGTGCTGAGAGAAACCGAGAGATATAGATAAAGTAAACATGAGATTTGGAAAGATGATCTCTATTTCTAGACTAAATATGATGGACATGATTAAGTATCTTACAACAAGAAAATTACTAAAAAAGAACTTTACTAAAAGTTTGTCAACTTTTTTGTCGAGATAATGTGGATGGTTTATCTGTATCATCATTAGCATCAAGCAACAAAGAGGTCATGTTTTAACCACCTGCAATAAAAAAACATACCCTAGTCCTAAAGTAAAACTTCTTGATCCCACTTCTATCAATCACTTCTTCATAATCACTTCTACTTGGAATCAAGAACAGCTTCTATTCAACAAGCAAGGTTTTTATCTATAACTACTGCAAAAATCCTTAGCAGCAATGTTTTACTAATTTCCATATCTCCATCTACAATTTACTAAGTTCGGGTGATTAATAGAGGTAAACTAGCAAAGAAAATTAATAAGTACGTTTTTAAAAATCTTCTTTATTTGGTCTTACATTGGAATAGTAAACCACTGTTGTCAGTTACCTATAGGAATGTTCTTTTGAAGATTAAGAAGCAGTTCTAGTGACTGGTAGATATTTTGAGAATTTTCTTGATATTTAATTGGCTAAAAAATGCACTGGACAAGGGGATGGATAAAGTATTTATTCAGAAAGCTGTTCAGTTTACAAAATATCATATATTATGTATGTCTTTTGATATTACTTCAATTAACATAAAAATAATCAAACAAGTGTGAACCAGAATAAAAATGAATTCAGATGAAAATTATTGTGGTTACCTTGCTGACATCATGTCTATAAATTAATATTGAAGAGAGTGCTCGAAATGTGTTGCAGCTCGTGTTGCAGTTTACCATTAAATGATCCTGACAACCAGATCTTCCAAAAGTTTCAAAGTTTATGGTATTAGATAAGTCATATACAACAATGTTAGAATAAGAAAATCTTGTTCAAGAATTTTTAAAAGACGAAAGTTACTCAAATAAGTACTACAAAACTACAACAAATTATTGCAAATTTTGCTCTTTTACTCAAAGGGTTGTACTGAAAATGACTTCTGTTTTAGGATCCCAGAAGCCAAAACCATCCACTTTGTTATATACAAATATAAGACAAAGTGGATGACAAAGACGTTATATGCACTTAAAACAGTCCTTTTTACTTAAAAGGAATGAAAGTAGTTGACTTTGTCAATCTCATACTTTGGCACAACGTCAGCCGAGAACTAAGAAGCTGTATCTCCACTTTTTGTGATTCAGAGTAATTTGATTTTTAAATTTTAGGGCACAAATACTGACAGTTGATCTTTTTGTAAAATATTTTCAAGTCTAATTATAAATTAAGTCTTACTTTTATTAGAAAATTTGTTTAAATCTAAAAATGTTGCAAACTGAACTGTGGACATGCAGCCTGCTGGTTTGCATTTCTTTAAACTTTAATAAACATAGTTTCTTAAAAAATGGTTTATATGATTATTCTCGGGTGATCAATACAAAGGGGGTGGGGGTGTAGGAGTTTTAGTCCAGATTTAATAAAAAGAAAGGAGGAAGGGTGGGTGGGTGGGTGGGGGTGGGTCTTAACAAAAATATGGATGCAAATTTTTTACATAAAATCAAATAAACAATATAGTTCTAAAGTGACTTGCCTTCAAATGGACATTTTTAAACATGTTTTATTATAATTCAATAGAATTTAGTATGCTTACATAAGTTTTATACCATGGTGGGAAACAATGATTTAAATTTGACAAATCAAAATTTACGATATCTTTTAAAGATCGATGATTTTGAAAGCCTAATTGCACTTAAAGTTGTTATTCTTATCAGAACTGATATATATTTTTATAATGAACACCCTGTCCCGTGTTTTAAGCACCTAAGAGAAAGTATATTTTTAAAATGGAATTAAATTGCTTTTCCAGTGTCGGTGAGACCTGGACTCTATTTTTAATGTTTCCTAGTTGTTAGCCCTTCATGGTAAATTATTTTTCAAATATTTTAATGCAGTTTTGAAAAGCATAAAACCAAAAAAGATTGCAAAACAAAATTTTTTGTTCGCGAGGGTCACCTATGTTGATGCAAACACTATACAAATAATAAATAATACAAAATTAGTTTCAGAATTGAAAAAAATATATATACTTAATTTTGTTGGTTACAATTTTTAAGCTGGTTAAAAATTAAGATAACAAAAATTGATAAAACATTAAACACGTTAATGTTTGTAAGACCGATGACATACATTCTTTGTCTTGAAGTGGCATAAATTTTAACATTGATTTTAAATCTTTTACTTTTTCTTTTGAGATTTTTTTTAAGCACCTTTGGTTACACAAACTTTATATCATTTGCAATTTTTTTATTATATGAATTTTGGTGTCTGGTGTTATAGTTAAGAATATCAGCTGGTGAGGGTGTTTGTTAAGAATATCTGCTGGTGAGGGTGTTTGGTGTCGTGTTATAGTTAAGAATATCTGCTGGTGAGGGTGTATGGTGTCTGGTGTTATAGTTAAGTCTGCTGAGTATTTAAACATCTTTACTTTAGCATTTGGAACATTTTTAAGCAATGAATAATTCTTAGCAATGGTTTGTAAGTCCACCACCTTTAAAATAAAAAAACTTGATTGAATTCTTTCGAGGTATGTATTTTAGAATTCTGACAAGGCCGATTGGACAGTTAATTCCATATTTCTTTCAATAATATTATGTAAACTGTAAATCTCCTGGATAAAACTATGTTCTGGCTCACAAAATTTCTGATTGGTTATTTTAATTTGATGATTTTGCATGAAAATTTTTAAAGCAATAGTCATAAAACTATTTCGATTCTGTGGCACACAAGAGTCGCTCCAAAACAAATTTCAGTTACATGAGATTTATCTGCAACTATTTGATTGAGTATAACAAGAAAAACGCTAGCTATATCATTTCCTGTTGGGCCACTAGTAAGTTCTGACCAGACTGCACTATAATTTTTTTTTGATTGAGCATTGTGCAGTCAAATGAAAAACTTTTGTAAAAAAAGTTGGAAACGTTTGTTGTTGGTAGGCTGAAAACATTTTCCATATTAAAGCAAATACTTGCTTTTATCAAACAAATTAAAAAAAGTATAGGGCCAAAGTATAGAACTTTGAGGAACCCTTGAAGTTACAGAAAATTATGAAGAGTGCTGGCCGTCAAGGACAACTTTTATGCTACAATTGGTAAGGAAGAATTCAATTATCTTAAAGATGTTACAAGATAACATGAGCTTATAGAGAAGATAAGCATGTTAACTTTATCAAAGTTTTTAGAAATGTCGAGTGTGATAGCATTAATCTCTCCACATCTATCTATCTAATACACAATAAAACCTATCAACCTATTTAATGCATGATAAAATCTATTTGTTATTTAATGAGTACCACTCTGTTTACAGATACTTCCACATCTATATAGCACTACTTGGTGATCTATTTTGCCATATGTTTTTACTTTTCCTGGCTTATTATTCTCAAAACATTCCCAAACCATTACATTCCCTCCACTATATTTAATTGTTGGCACTGTACACCCTACTATTCTTAGATTGTTGGACAAACACTCTTCTGTTAGAACTGAAAATATAGATTTGTTCTTCCAGAGTGCATTTTTCCATTCTTCAAGAAATCTCTATAAGTTTTGCTCAAAACAATCTGTTTTGATGTTTTTTTGTTAATTCCGGCTTTTTAGCTGCTAAACATCCTTGGAGACCGGCAGAGCACAGTTGTCTTTTAACAGCTGACACTTTACTTGGACAGATTTCATTTAATTTTGCTTTAACTTGTTTTTTTATAAAAACACCACTCTACTATAATTTGTTTATAAATTTATTTGTTTAGCTGTTAAAGAAGAGATATCTTGTGTGCAAACAACTGACTGAAAGATAGTTACTGTGGTAACTCAATTTTATAGATTTTATGTTTAGACAGGTCTAAATGTGTTTGTTTTGTATATTAGATTAAAACAATTTGAAAGCATCTCTTTAATAAAAAGCATCTCTTTAATAAAAAGCATCTCTTTAATAAAAAGCATCTCTTTAATAGAAAGCATCTCTTTAATAAAAAGCATCTCTTTAATAAAAGTAGTTTTATCATACAGGTTAAAAAAAATTCAAAACTTTAACATTTGTTCAAATTGAAGAAATTACATCATAAAAATTGATTTCATCAATATATATTGACATTATATTGATGAAATCAATTGAATTTTAATTTTTCAACAAAATATTAACTGCTTCTAAAATTTTGATCGGTAGAGCATGTATACATAAAGACAAAGAACAAAACACTTAAATTTTTACCAAGTCCAGAAGTTAATTCACATTCAACAGTTCTTGGAATACGACCAGCTTCTCTATGTTCATCTGAAATCATTTCCTGAATTCTGGACATAAACATAGCTTATAAAAAAATGTATTAAAAAATATACATGTGAAAAAACAACAACTAAATACTTAATATTCTGCCAATCAATTGTTTCAGTAGAAGGAGAGCTTCGCAGTGGTGAAAAAGATTTTCCTCTGCACACTTCATTTATACACTAAAAAAATACTTTTTGTTTCAATAAATATTTATTTAATGTGATAATTATGTTTATGATAGTAATGCACTCTATTTGCTTTTCTATTTGTTTATGATAGTAATGCACTCTATTTGCTTTTCGTATATTTCATATTTTCAAACGTATATTATATAAGTATAATGCACTCTATTTGCTTTTCTATGAACTGAGTTGATAAAAACTTAATTCATTAGTTAATTAGTTTTATGATTAATTAGCATTAATTCGATAGTTCACTTTATTTTCAATAACTATTAAAGCTTTCAAATTAATAAAATATAAAATATTTTTAAATTAACTTATTAGAAAACCCTAAGCACAGAAAAGTAGATTTTGAGATACTTGAAAAAAAAAAAACTGTTTAACATTAAACAATGTGTAAATATACTATTACATGTATAGGCTATTATGATCATTTTATAGATGCAAAATCTTATAAGGACATTTAACATCTAACTAAAAAAATTCAATTTTTTTCACTGAAGGTATTTTTTTGATTGGTAAAACAGAAACTACAAAAAGAGGTTTTTTTTATTTAAGTAATTCATGTACGCTTTGTTAACACATCAGAAGATATGTGTTGTAAGATATGTTCTCATTTAAAAGACCATAACAAAAAATTTTGAATAGAAATAACTGTGTAAAATAATTTCAATGCATGAAATTTTAAAACTAAACAAATCATTCTTAACCGCCTTTAAATCTATATAATCAACCACCAGATAACATTTTTTTAATATTAAATAACACATAGTAGTATTGCTAATAGAGTTGTTTCATTATTATAGGGTTTGAACTATGGATTGAAAATGTCGTGTAAAAAAATTCCGATAGTAGACTAAGACAATGACTTTCTTTTATATAGTCTACTTTAAATAAAGTCATTATGAACAAGTACTCTCAACAAAAAGTTATTATAAACTAATGGAAAAGATATTGCACAGATTTTTATTAATTCTTTTAGCCAATTTCTTCAAAGTCTTACAAAATGCAATTTCACTTATAGTGCAGCCAGATTGTTTTTTTTTTGGATCATTTTGGGCTTTATTGGGTAAATTTGGGTTTTATTTTTATTTTATATCTGTTAAATTTTTTTTGTTTGTTTAATGATATTGAAAATTAGTATAACTTTCTACTTTAACTTCATTTAAAGTATATTTTATATAATGTTATTTAATAATTTATAACAAGAATTTTTCAAATTATCTTGGAAAAAATTTTTAAACAAAATTTAAAACTAATAGAAAAAAAAAAATTCACGTTAAACCTATGCGTATTTTATACTTTATGTGTATTGATTTATTTTATATTTTATATGTGTATTGATTTATTTTATATTTTATATGTGTATTGATTTATTTTATATTTTATATGTGTATAGATTTATTTTAGATTTTATGTGTATTGATTTATTTTAGATTTTATGTGTATTGATTTGTTTTATATTTTATATGTGTATTGATTTATTTTATTAATTTATTTGTGTTCTCTATTTTAAGACTCATTCTCTATTTTAATTCTCATTTTAAGACTGAGACTATTATATAAAAGCTATTGTAAACATAAATTTTTTTTAAACATCTTTGCTTCCAACAAGGCTGCAAGCAACCACTAATTAGTGTTGAAAGTTACTGGAAGAGAAAAGATGAAGATTGTAGAGCAAGATAACAATTGACAGACGATTTAAAAGATTGCAAATTATATGAATCAGGAAAGCAAGATAAAGGAAGCAAATTCCAAAGAACTGATGTTCGAGGAAAAAAACTAGACGAGTAAGAATTTTTGGAGCACTTAGGAACAGTAACAGAAAAAGGATGAGACTTAATTGAATGACGAGTAACACGAGAATGAATTTTAGTAGATGGCACACGAGACGCTAGCTCTTTAGGGCAATGCCCATTATAGTATTTGTAGAAAAGAGAAAGAGAAGCAACATTATGACAATGTGACAGAGGTTGAAGGTTGGCTGCAAGAGCAGGTCCAACTATGTTTACAATGCGTTTTTGTACCTTGTCTAAAAGAGAAAGGGCATCATTAGAAAAAACGGCATCATCCGCCCTAGATATGGCAACAGTATTTCATAAAAGGCCGGATTTGAGATTTGTGGAGATAGAGAATACAATCCAGAGTAAGAAAGTGTCGCGCTCGATAAAGAGAAGCAACTTTAGCAGATGCTAATTTTGCTACGGATTTGATATAAGGTTTCCAAGAAAGATCAGAAGTAATAGTTAATCCTAGAAGATGAAGGGTAGGAGACTCATCAAGTACATTACCGTTCATAAATATAGGAAGGTCTAAATTATTGCGATAACGATTGGCTGAAAAAAATTGAGTTTTATCTGAATTAAAGTTTACCAGCTATTGTGAGTCTCATGCTGTAGCAGAAGTGAGATCCTTTTCAAGCTCAGATGCCCCCTGCAAGCAATCAGCGGGAGTTGGCTTCTTATTGTGACAAGAATAAATGGTAGCATCATCAGCGAACAATGCCACCTTAGATATGAGAATATCTGGAAGATCGTTCATGTAAATTAAAAAAAGTATATGGCCAAAGATTAAACCTTGAGGAACCCCTGAGGTTACAGAATAAGAATAAGAGTGCTGTCCATCAAGGACAACTTTTATACTACGATTGGAAAGGAAGGATTCAATAATCTTAAAGATGTTTCCAGATACACCATAATAAGAAAGCTTATGGAGAAGACCAGCATGCCAAACTTTATCAAACACTTTAGAAATGTCAAGAGCACTTGTTAAATAGTTTTGAAAGTATAGATGACAGCTCCGGAGAACACTTAAGACTATAACAGGTATGTTGTCCGGGCCGCAAGCTGCAGAAGAGTTTAAGCAGGAAATCACTTTAGATACAAAAGCTGGAGTGATACGGATGTCGAGCAATGGATCAACCTGTTTGACGACTATATCAGGTAGAACGCAACTAGTGGAATTAAGAGATGATATTGATGAAAAGTTCTTGGCAAACAATTCAGCTTTGTCTTTAGGTGAGGTGACAAAGTCTCAATCATACAAAAGTGGTGGAATTACTGACTTGCCCTTATTATTGATACTATTAAAGATTCTCCAGAAGTCACGAGAGCCTAATTTTTGTGATGAAATACGAGATTTTATGGTCTGAGAATAGCGTGGTTTGGCGTTAGACAAAACCTTTTTACAATGGTTCCTAACAGTAATAAACAGACGTCTGTTTTCTGGAGAATTGTTTTGCTGATAGATATGGAAGTAATGTTTTCGATTGGCAATTGCAGCAGCACAATGTGAGGAAAACCATAGAGAAGAGTGAGGCTTGACCTGGAATCATCAAGAGGGAATAAAGGATTCCATGCAAGCCTGAATCCACGAAGTTATGTAAGAAGCACATTTGTCAACAGGAAGACGAAAGGTTTTTACCCAGGGGCTATCACAAAGAAAATCACGGAAAGAGTCCCAGTCAGCTTTAAGGTAGTTGTAAGATATACGATGATAGGGGGATTCTGATGGTAAAGAATATAATAGTTTTAGAGAGACTAAACCATGATCAGAAGCACCTAAGGGTGAGTGTGAAGAAACTGAGCACTGAAACAAGACATAAGTTGAGTAGAGAAGGTAAATGATTCGGGTTGTCTGGAAAGCGAGTTGTAAAGTTGACTATTTGAGTGAGGGATTGAGAAAGGCAAAAGTTGTGGGCTTTAATGCCTGCAGAGTAACTAGGATCAGAAACAAGACATAAGTTGAGTAGAGAAGGTAAATGATTCGGGTTGTCTGAAAAGCGAGTTGTAAAGTTGACTATTTGAGTGAGGGATTGAGAAAGGCAAAAGTTGTGGGCTTTAATGCCTGCAGAGTAACTAGGATCAGAAACAAGACATAAGTTGAGTAGAGAAGGTAAATGATTCGGGTTGTCTGAAAAGCGAGTTGTAAAGTTGACTATTTGAGTGAGGGATTGAGAAAGGCAAAAGTTGTGGGCTTTAATGCCTGCAGAGTAACTGACACTAGAGCCAAGCCATTCAGTGTGATGAAGATTAAAGTCACCGACAACAACAATATTGGCTGATGGATAAAGAATGAGGGTCAATATAGTCAGAAATAACATCAAGAAGAGTGCAGTTTTGAGATGAGGGAGAGCGATATAGAACAAAGAGAAAAGTGATAGAGTGAAGTGGTGCTAAACGAAAGCACATAAAAGAGTAGTCTGTGGATTCAAACCTAGTTTCCCGACAAATGGGTGAATTCTTACGAACGTAAATGCCCAGGCCAAGCATGTGACTATTGGAGTCTTTACGAATTAAAGGAAGATAACCATCAACACTAAGATCACAAGATGAGACAGAAGAACTCAAATTAGTCTCACAAAGAGCAAGTAGGTCTGGTGAACTTTGCAAGAGATAAGACTCAATAAAAGAAAAATTACTTCGAAGACCACGAATATTGGTGAATGGTTTAGCGAACTTGGTGATGACTGTGGTTTTTTGTATTTTATAGTTTTTGCTAGTTTATTCATTTTTAAACTTGTTAAAGAACTTGACTCGAAACATAGATAGTACTAAGTACACAGTTTTATAGCCCAAACAATTGCCTCATTACTAATAATAAACCCTAAGCTGTAACAAAGGGCTCCAATGTGGTCTTGGCAATGCACATCAAAAGTACAAACAGGGACAGCATCCATGCGCAACATGGCACTGTTAGTACTCTGACATTTTTCAGCTGTTAATGGAATCAGCCTCTCTGTGAGCTACCACAGAGTTCGGGAAACCTGAATACCAGCCGGCCTCAGAACCATAAAACTGAGTTTTAGAGCTGTACCCTCATTTGAAGATAATAGAATGAGTTGCCTAGTCATAAAAACAGAGACACAAGCAAAACCCATGCATCGAGTCAAAAAGATCCAGCGTTCAACATCCTAAACTGAAAACAATGTATTAAAAATACATCTGCGCCAGCCTAATAGATGAAGAAGGGGTGCGAGGCTGGTCAACAGATAATTGGATATCCAATTATTAATAGATACAGAATATAATCACATAAAATATACTTTTATAAAATAAATCTTTGTTGACTTTTTTTGTTAGTTAACATAATTGATCACTTACGCAAACAAAAAAACCTAATGATGTCATGTACTGAAACTCTTAGGAATAAAACGCACTTGAATAAATTATTGAGCCTGTAGATTGTGACATATATAAATGCTGACTTTTTGACCTACATCAAAACAGAGAAGCCAAGCTTTGACTAAAATGAAAAAGTTAGTTTTTCTTGGTACGCATTTATTCTTTTGTTTTAATCAAAAAAATTTAGCCTAAACAATTTTTTTATCATTCTCTTTAATATAAACACAACATGTTTTGAAGGTTTGGGATCCCTATAAGATTTGAATTTAGGCTTTTAGGTTTTTAAATATTTCTAAAATGTTGCTAAAACGTTTGTTTTTGGCTGAACTGTTTCTAAAGTGTCTAAAACAATTTTTTTTTTTGGCAAAAAATTGTAAAACTCTTGTTAAACGCAAAGTTTTTCGACTTTTTAAAATTGTTAGATTTTATGAAAAAATCTTTCATTGTTATTATATGAATAGAAAAACCTTTGTTGGAACAGCATATTTGCCTTCAGCCAGACAGATAACCTACAAAAAAAGTTTTAAAATACTATAAAATAAATTAAAATATGGAGCAAACCTAATTTTTAAAGCTAAAATCATCTCACCTGGTTTTCAGTGCAACTATTGCATGAAAATTCCATCTTAGTTACAATTGGTTTTACATTGCTAACTCTAACAACAGTTCCACGCACAGATACTAATTTACCTATTAAAGATTTATCCGAATATTTTGTTAATGTTGTTGGTATATTAATGATATATCAACCTCAATCAACAATAATTTATTATTTTTGATGTTGTTATTATATTGGGGATATATCAACTTTAATCAACGATGATTTGCCTAAAATATATTTTGCTGATAACATTTTCTCACTGGAATTTAGTTCATTTAAAAATATTGTTGGTATTTTAAGATAATATAAACTAGAAATTTGAAGCTTTAACCCAAAAGCAAGATAATTTACCAAGTGAGTGTTTAATCACTACACCATTAAAGCAGATTTACATTACACTACACAAGTAGTGCAGACTACTGTTAAATAAAGGTCCGATATAGATTTAAAAAAAATATATATGAAATCCAATTTTAAATTTTGTTTTTGTTTTTTAAATAAAATTACACTAAATAATATAATTGGTAACTTTTCAAATTTTACATTAAGGTTGATATATCCCCATTAACATTACAAAAGAGTATCAGAATAAATATATTGTTATAGCAAAAATTTTTCTGATAAATAATAATAATTAAACAGTGTACCATATGAATTTGCTTTAAGATGTTTAAAGGCTGTAACAGGTTCAAAGTTTACTAAGCGTACATTAATAAATGGGACATGTGGAAAAACATGTGAAGTTTGCTTATCAGCTTTTATCTGCTCATCTAAAAGCACCTTAAAAGAAATTATATTACAAATTAAAATATTATAAATAAATGTAAACAGTTTAATACTATTTAACACCAGGTTTAAAAAGAAAAATATTTAAACTTAGGATTAAAAACAGTTCAACTTGTAGAAAGTTTATACATTAACTGTATAATACATTTTCTGTGCGATAAAACGCAATTATATAAAAATTAAAAATAAGATAAATTTAAAACTTAAACAACATCAAAACAAAAAACTGTGCTTCACTACACTAAAACTTATCATAGTTTTTAATACCTGATGCAATGTCACTCCAATGCTTGCTAAAATATTTTCTGGATCTTCATAAATATCTTTTTTCAATGAAGGAAACTTTTCCAAAAGCACTAATAATACATTTTTTTTATATGTTCAATAATTTATTGGACCAAAAAGCATTTTCTCTACAGTTGCTACAATCTCTATCCTTTTACTTCACACATTTTTTACATATACTTGTTATATAGGCATAAAAAAATATTTTATGATTTTACTTCTTGTACATATAACAGTTCATACTTGGATTGTTTAACAGGGTTTGATAATCTAGATGAACTTCTTGTTTTTCTTCAATTTCATCCTATCATAAGACAAAAAAGCAGATGGCATTTTATTTTGTTATGAAAATCCATTTTTAAGTTATTCAAAAATTTTGAAAAAACTACCTGAAATTCAGACGCACATGTTTCAAAATATTGATATAAAACAAACACTTTGTCAGCTAGCTCAGATTCAGGATTGTATGCTGTTAAAAAAAACTAACACACATAAAAAAAAAAAAAACATAATATTAATATCCTGAGATTTTGTTCTTAGAAATTCTTAGATCTAAGAAGTTCTTAGTGAATGGTCACAAAACCATTAAATGCAAACACAAGATTAAAAAAAAAAAAGTTTGAATATAATTAAATAAATAATACAAACTTATATCTTAAAAAATTTTAAAATGACAAAATAAGTATTATTATTAAATTTACTTTTGTAATCTGAATAATAAAAATGAAAAATAAAATATTTCAGGTAATTTGAAACTTAACATTGTAATTTTTTAATAAACCTTTTTGCATTTTGTACAGCATACTGTGACAATCTGAATTGTAGAGTATACTGTGACACTCTGAATTGTACAGTATACTGTGACATTTTGTACAGCATACTGTGACAATCTGAATTGTACAGTATACCGTGACACTCTGAATTGTACAGCATACTGTAACAATCTGAACTATACAGTATACTGTGACAATCTGAATTGTACAGCATACTGTGACACTCTGAAAAACTTTTTAATTACACATTTCTAAAATCTTACATTCATTTTTGAAATAAAGTTCCCACTTTGCATATGGACATCCTATATTATGATTAAAGTTAATTGGTTGTGATCTCTGAGATGAACTCTGTAAAGAATCTAAAACTAATAACAAAAAAGTACTACTAAATATTTATTTCAAACATTACAATATAGCCATAAATACAAGCTTAGATATATATGCAGTCGTAGACTAAAATATTTACATAGTCCATAGTCAAATATGTGAGCTTAAATATGTTATTATAAATTTATAAAACTACCTCCTTTGATATTTTTAGATAAATATCCACTTTTTTTTTGTCTCCATCCATAGCTCTTTCCTCTGTTACCTTTAAATCCACCACGCACATATGGACTGTTCATTTCAACCAAACAAGCAATCAAACCATAACTTTAAAACAAATAAAAAGAACAAGAATGAATAATAATAAAAAAAAAGCAAAAAATCATTTTAAGCAAAACATTTTATAAAAACATTTTTTAAAAACTGATAAAAATCTTACCTTTTTTCAAAGACAACCAATCACATGATTCCATTCAGATTTCAAAATATCAGCAATCAAATTCTAATAAACTATATACTTTTTATAAGTTATTTAATTAACCATAAAGTTAAAAAACTTACAATTATAAAAAAAAATTTAGAAATACATTTTATAATAAAACTTAAAAACTAAAAATAGCTATTAAACTAAAAATAGCTATTAAACTAAAAATAGCTATTAAACTAAAAATAGCTATTAAACTAAAAATAGCTATTAAACTAAAAATAGCTATTAAACTAAAAATAGCTATTAAACTAAAAATAGCTATTAAACTAAAAATAGCTATTAAACTAAAAATAGCTATTAAACTAAAAATAGCATGTCTAAGTAAAGTGAAAAAAGAAAAGAAAATGTTTACTTTTTATATTTATATGTTTATATTTTAAGATATTTTAACAAAAATTTACTTTTATTTAATCTAAAACTTTTAGTTTATTAAAATAAAAAACAAATAAAAATATACAACAAAGTTAATATACATTTTTGTTGTATATGGTTTTCATATTTGTAAATATAATAATTATTTGTTAAATTTTTAATTTAAAATAACACTGGTCAACAGCCAAAATGTATCAGTGATGAAATCAGCCATATTTAATGTTGTTGTGCTGAAAAAGAATATGACATTAAAAAAATTTACTTAGCTTTAGTTTTTATTATATATTAAGTTTTGCTTTTTTTTTTTTTTTTAATTGAACATTGGGTTTATCTTCATTTCAGTCTTGCTGAGTCATCATATTTACAACAACTTACTGATCTGATAACTGATTAAATATATTCTATTATGAGTCGGTCACAGACCAATTTTTTAATAGTGCATATGAGTTTTTTTGTGTCAGCAATCATTATATTAAAATTCATCAAAAATATGTAAATAGAATTGATATCTATGTGGCAACATTATAAAAATGTTCTTTTACAATAATGATTTGTTATGTGTGTGGCAACATTACAAAAATGTTCTTTTACAACAATGATTTGTTATGAGTGTGGTAAAACAACAATACAAAAATGTTCTTTTACAACAATGATTTGTTATGCGTGTGGTGCAACATTACAAAAATGTTCTTTTGCAACAATGATTAGGTAGGCTTATCACTGCTACTTTCGATGCAAGTTTAGAGAACAAGAATGTGCTCTGTGCTTCTAACCTCCAGAACTAGATCGATTGGGTTGCTCAATTCCTTTTATTGTTCTTATGAATTGGAAGGAGCCAATCAATCATATCACAGACTGCTATTTTTGCATGGTGCCATCCCTACAGCACTGAATGTTCAAAAAGAAAGAATGGAGTGTCAATTACCTCAACAAACTATCTGCAAGTCACCCAGGATCTCATAGAGAACTTCCCATTTATAATCCACCAGCAGATTATTTTCTGGAATCTGAAGATCAAGAATCAGATCATGCTAGAGCAAAATCGCCTGAACCATCAATATTGGAAGATCCTGATTTTATTTTTTAGAGTAGACCAACACAGTATTGTGCAGAGTGAATTAGGTGACCAGATCAGAATTCTGGATTTATCAAAGAACAAAGCAGAAATTCTGGCCTCCAGACTACAGAAGTACAATCTTCTACAGAAGAATGAAAAAAGGATTTAACTCAGTTCTTTGGTATGAAAAATGACTTCATATTTTTTCATGAGATTGATGGACTATTGAAATCACTTAATATTGAGTATAAACTTGAAGAGTAGAGAACCTTAGCTGACGCTTAAAACTAAGTTTAAAAGCAGTGTTATTACATGATGGATATGAAAACAATCTGTTGGATATGTTGTTCATATGAAGGAGTCTTATGTCAAGATGCAGCATCATGTGGACTCTATTAACTATAATGATACCAGTGGTTGATTTGTGGGAATATTAAAGTAAATGCCATTATGCTGGGAAAGCAACTGGGTCACACCAATTTTTGTTTTTATTTTTTTGTGAGTAAAATAGTAGAGCATAATCTAACTACTATAAAGCAAAAGTATAGCCCTCCTAAAATTATCTGGAGGGTCATACTAGTGGACCCCAAGAAGGTTTTGTTACCACCATTGCATATAAATTAGGGACTTAAAAATAATTTTGCAAAGGGAATGAACCAAGATGATCAGGCTTTCAAATACTTCAATAAGAAATTAACAAGGCTGAGTGAGGCCAAAATAATGGAAGCTGTGATTACTGGTCCACAAGTACATAAACTTCTAAAAGATGAACATTTATATCAGATTATAAGAGGTATTTTGTTTAAAAATAATTAAACTTGCAGTTGAAAACTTTTTGGGAAACAAGAAAACAGATAACTATGAAGAACTTGTGACAAGACTTCTCTTAGCATACCAAAAATTAGGCTGCAACATATCATTGAAGATTCACTCATTTGTTTTTTTTCTGAAAACTGTGGTGCAATTAGGGATGAACATAGTGAATGTTTCTATCAAGATATTGCGACAATAGAAAACAGGGGATGGTATTCTGTTTTATAATAAAAAATTTAATAGCTTAGTGCTCTCCAAGGCCAGTTGAGTCTTATTCAATAGACAGATATATGTATAAGTGCACACATTGTTACATGTTTTGTTTTACAAATATTTATACAAAGTATAAGTATTTGTAAAACTTTTTTTTTTGTCATTTAACATTATTTTACTTATTTAAATAACTTTTTTGCCAAAACACAACTTCATACTTCTTTGTTAATGCTATATTTAACACCATTTTTAACTAGTTTTTTTTATATTTAACAATATTTGTTGTTTTTTTACAAATAATAAATAGATTTTCTTCCCACATAAATATAACTTCCTGAACCATAAGCAACACCTGGAAAATATTTTTATAAGAAAAAGTTTTAAAATTAATCTTGTAGTGAATTAACAATATAAATTGATCAAAGTAAAACACAATAAAATGTTTTTTTACTACTTTTTATTGCTAAATTAAAAATGAATAAAAATTTTATTATTCATATTGAAACTAAAATCATTCGCCTCGGTAGATTGGTTTTCTCTTTTCTTTAAAAGCAGTTAGCCCTTCAACTCTATCTTTTGTAGGAACAACCTGAAAGAGAAAAAAGAAAAAGATTAATAATTTCAGTAACTATAGAAAAACTTTAAGTTTTTTGAACCAAAGATGACTTAAATACTTTACATGAATTTTTTTTTTTTCAAGTTTAATGTCCATTTCACAGTTGTGTGGTTTGGAAAAATGCTCATAATGCTAATACTTTTATTTAAGTATAACATTATTGAAGTGTTCAATTAATTTTTTTACAATCTACAGTAGTAATAGCTACAAAATAAAAGATCATTAAAAAAAAAAAATCAAACTTAATCCCAACAAGGCTGCAAGCAACCACTATTTAATTAGAAGTTACTAGAAAGCAAAGAATAGAATTAAAGAGCAAAGAAATAATTGACAGAATATTACATATTACCGAATATTACATATTACAGTTGATTTCAAATCAAATTCCTATAATTGAAAATTTAAATTCAACAATCTACTAATTTTTATTAATTTTCTTTTCAGAACTTATTAGTAAATCTTTAAAAGAAAAACTTTTAATTCAAACTCATATAATTCAAAAACTATGTAAATTGAACTAATTTTTGGTCTTTCCAGAACCTATTAGTAAATTTTTGAAAGAAAAACTCTTAATTCAAACTCATATAATTCAAAAACTATGTAAATTGAACTAATTTTTGGTCTTTCCAGAACCTATTAGTAAATTTTTGAAAGAAAAACTCTTAATTCAAACTCACATAATTCAAAAACTATGTAAATTGAACTAATTTTTGGGTCCCTTAAAATATTTTTCATCAAAAAATATCTTAAAAAATTTAAATCTTTTAGTAAATTTGAACCCAAAAATTCTATTACTTCATTAAATGTTTTAAACTTGATTGGTCGCAATTAAAATAGCAGCAAAAAGAAAGATGGTTTTTTGAAAGTAAAATTCATTAAGGGCTGGAAAAGGACAAGTCAAGGACAAAAATGCAACAAATAATAAGTTTAGTCTCTAATAAGATAAATATTTTCAGGCAAAAAACACAGCAAAGCACAGTCTTATTATTGTTTGTGATTGGGACATTTGTCAACCCAAAAATAGTTCCAGCAGATTTGTAACCTCCCTTGTAGATATTCACCTGATATTTACAAAGGAGGTTATGAACTCTGCAGGAAAAAAAAGTTTCTTTAAGTTAAAAAATTCCTTTCAATACAAATATAAAGTTTTAAAGAAACAGTTGATTTATATGCTTTATAATATGTTTGAAATATTGTCATTGGAGTATTAACATTAATATTAATAGTATAAATATTAATATTAGCATTAAAGTATATTTTAAAGAATTTATTTTTTTCTTTTATTCATAAAAAAAAATAGCAGATATGTCACAGTCACAATCAAAACTTTAAAAAATTTTTAAAATTTGAGAATAATTCAAAATATTTGTTCGAAAATTACTTTTTACTTTCAGAATTTTGAGTGTTAATATTGGATACATAGATAATATATTTTTTAAATCACTAAATTTGTTTTAACCATAGCTTGTTGTTATTTAAGTAAAAAATTAAATTATTATTTATGTGAAAAACTAATGAATAACAGAAAAACATGCTCAGGTTTTTTTCCTATGTGAACAAGGGTTGACCCAGGGTTGACACTGACTGCTATTGCTGCATGTTTTAATAAAACACATTATTGCATCATAAAAATATTGAAAGTACTGCAATTTCATCTATAAGTAAAACCA